GTATACTGTACCTAGATTTCGTCAAGGCTTTCGACAGCGTACCCCATGAAAGGCTGAAAATCAAACTGGAAGGGTACGGAATTCGGAGAGATGTAGCGTGGATAGAAGTCTTTCTACATGACCACAAGCAGTGTGTGGTGATTAATGGCACGAAATCATCTGTACCTCCTCACAAGTGGGGTACCACAGGACAGTGTTACGAGTGTCCGCTGTTAGTTTCTGTTCTTTGTATAAAATTCGTTGTTTCGGATCGTGTGAGGGGTGTCTCGGGCAGCTTCGCTCACTACTCGCCCACACCAACTGAGCCCTTATTTAAGTATTAACTTTGTTTATTACATTGTATTATGTTGTATTGTATAGTTTTATTACATTAGGTTTGTACATAGGTTAAATATGTGGAATTAATGTCAGTAGGGTAATTTAAATATAGTTTTATGTTTTAGCCAATCAGGATATGTTACGTCAGTATTTGGCGGTAAAAGGTGACGTCGGTGACCAGCTGGTAATCGGTTATCAGTTTAGTCACAGCTGACTTTTAGTTTGGTAATATACTCTCTCTCTTATGTTTTGGGAGTTGGCATTTGACTTTTGTGATTTGCTTTGATTGATATTGTGTGATAATGTTGGACCTTCAGTCGTACTCAGCCACTTCTAATCATTTTGTCGTATTATTATTGTTTGTGTTTGTTTAATATATTTTTTTTAATTAAATCTACTTCATGAATTTCAATATACTCCATAGTAATGAGGCGATGAATTTGGTTGGGATCTATTCTTTGGACCTATAGTACAAAGAGAAATTAAATTTGTGCATTGTTACAACCTAAGAGGCCAAGGGTCGTCACATCAGTGTATTGGGTCCGCTGTTATTTGTTTGCTTCCTTCATAAATGACATGCCTGACGTTGTACACTCCACCATAAAAATGTTTGCCGATGACGCCAAGTTATTTCGGGAAATCAAGAACCATGCGGACTGTGAAGAGCTGCAGAAGGATCTCTGAGCTCCATGAATGGTCGAAGAAATGGCTGCTGAGATTCATTGTCACAGTGTAAGAAGCTGTACCTGGGGCATACCAACGGTAAGGAGTAGTATCATATGTCCCAACGGGATGAAGAAACCGCACTACTTGAGACAATGTGAGAAGGACCTAGATGTGTATGTTGACAATGAGCTGAAGTTCTCGGGCCATTGCGAGAAGGTAAATTAGGCAAATAAATTATTGGGTCTTATAAGAAGGTCGTTCAGACGTCTAGACGGCCCGTCCCTCGTAACGAACTTCAAGAGTGAAGTGCTTCCTATCTGGAGTACTGTCACCCCATCTGGTCCCCGAGATATGCTAGGAACTGTCAGTTGGAACAATCTACCATAAAGTGTTGTGACGGCACCGAGTGTGAGCTCCAGTCTTGACCAACACTGGAGCAGGTTCAGGAGCCGGTGCATGCCCAGTACCTGCCAACGGTGCGTAACAGAGGTGACCGATCGCCCAAACGGCTAACGTGTCGATCAATTGATAAAGAGGATAAAAGAAAAATTAAAGTAACAAGGGACGTGCCCAAGCGGCTAACGAGCCGATCAGTGGTGAAGAGGGTAAAATTAAAGTATATACATTCAGGAGCCAGTGCATGCCCAGTACTTGGCAACAGTATGTAACAGAGACGTAACAGATCGCCCAAGCGGCTAACGAGCCGATCAGTGGTGAAGAGGATAAAAAAAATGTACAAGTTTAGTCGAGTTTGTGGGAAATACAAACATTTACATCAGATGTATGTGATTTATACCACCTCTCCAGCTATGGGAAGATTTAACAGATGGCCTTTGAGAATCTCCCATTGTAAGATACAGAAATACTGTACAGTACAGTACAGTACCACAAGATGACTTTATTCTATAAAAACTTAAGCCAACCTTCACTGTGGTTTAATATGTGTAAGATACAGAAGCCTAGTGACTTTGCCCTTATATTAATATAACCCTTGAGTGAAGGACTGTAATCATTGGTGTATGATCACTTGACCCATAATGCGTCACGTCTGTTTACTTAGGGCAAGATAACAACCTGATAAATACATCACTAACCACATTTACTATATGGTCCAAAGGCAGAATTTTTCTAAGTCTTATTATAGAGCAATAATTTTGTTCCTTGGACAATTGAATACTGTATCCTTTACCAAATGGCTACTTACTCGAAGTGGCCATGCCGTGGAAAAGACGGTAGCGACCTGCGTGTAGGATCCCCCAGTGTTCTTGACAATTTTGTCAAGGGCTATTTTGAAACCAAGTACCAAAAACTATAGTACAGTATCTTTGCCAAGTACTGTACTGTCCTTGATTCCATAGCTTGGGCTGGTAGACCGCTAAATAAACATTCAGTAACTTAGTTGTAAGTACAGTAAATAGCTAGATTATTTTTCTCACTTACAGTGAATAAAATAATGCATACATGTTTAAGTTTCCAAAGTCTGAAGCAATACATGACAGCCGTCCTAGCGGGATGGTTTAACACTGTAGTTTATACCGACACTTATCTTTATCGCCGAGGTTGGCTTTGGGAAGCCACTAGATTTTTTTTCATATTCCTTGACTACAAAAAATGCGAATCTGATAAATATAGCAGAGCACTTTGGTTAAGACTAACCGTTTTATAACTTATGCGTCTGTGGATTTGTGATCGGTATGGTGATCGTCCTCATTTTTTTATACTTCTTAGGTATAACGATATATAATTTTCTTAGACTGCGAAACCAAAACTATTATGCGCCCTCCCATTCTCACTTTCAGAGAAAAAATATGAATATTTGGGAATCGATATGACGTCTAGTACTTTAGATATGACAAGATGGTGATCGTCCTCGCTGTAAGTCTTGTCTTTAGACCGACCAATGATACCGTATCTTTATCTGGGAGGCAGCGAGGTCACACACTGCCATGACCAACTCAACCACACTACCAACACTACTAAATACTGGAAATGTATTTTAACCAGTGTCTGATTTACCATAGTGCATATGGTGCAGCTGCACCAATGCTAGTTTAATAATAATAATAATAATAATAATAATAATAATACATGAATCGAAGAGAACGATAATACTCTGTTTCAACAGAATACAGTACAGTATTTATATTTATCTATTCTAACTACATCGTGGTCGTCGCAGTAATTTACGCTTAAATCAACTTGGTTGTGGCCAATGTCAAGTCAACACCAAGAAACAAATTCCATGGTGAGAGCTTCCTTCTTGTAAATGACACGTTCCTTCAAAACACGTGTAAAATAATTGTTGTATACAATTAAGTCTGTGAATTACTTGGATTTTAAGGTAAACTGGATAAATCAACAAGTGGTGAAATTCGTTATTTAGCTGTATCTAATTTAATTCAGTTTTGTAGTTTTTCAGGTACAGTACTGTATTTCTAGATGAGAAAAGTCTCGGTATGGAAAATTTGATGTATAATTGGGTATTGATAATGATTTGAAAGGAATATTTTCAAATATTGAGATTATGCTACGTATATCTTATGATTAGTGAACTCGAGTTTGTCACTTAAAATAAATTACGAACGTAATTGCCTTCGGAATCGAAAAAAAAAACATTAAACGAGATAAAGTTACGTTATTAAAGTTTCGTGGTTATGTAGACTCGCGTTCTATTTTTTTTTCAACACATTCTTCATTATACAATGCGCCATACCCCAAGAAAATTTACAAGCCATACCAATAACCTCGATTTTGCGTTTTGCACTTCTATAGTGATTCCTGGAACTGAAATAAAACAATACGCAGTATCACCTCCAGTTTGGCATTCCTGCAGTAATGAATCCTTTGTTAAATGTCATATTTTATCAGTGTTGATGCGTTAATGTTTCTGTGCTTCAACACCAAATAAAGTTCATGCATTGCAGCATTAGACAATAACTGTCAAAAATACGGAAAGGTATTTGTTACAGACTGTAACTTGCAGTAAATGTATTTTTATATAACCAATACACACTTGTGTATATACCTACTCTGAAAAAATATGCAATACATGTGAATGTGTGGTTTATCCTAATTAGACTAAGTTTGTTTAATTTCATTAGTGATGGTGGTATTAGGTGGTGAAAGAGGCATTAGTATAATGCGTGGTTGGTAGAGTTTGTGGTGATAGTTGTGCAGGTGGTGTGGTCGGCGTGATGATACTGGTGATGGAAATGGTGGTCGTGGCCCAGGTGGTTGTGTGGTAATGGCGCATGTGGTGGTACTTTTCAAACCCCTTTAATATTCTTACAGAAGACTCGCCCACCTGCCCAAAGCAGTAGATAACCTGATAAGTCACGTAGCGACCATGTGTACTTGTACTGTGTTGTTAGGTATCAATGTTGATATGGCTGGTTTCTTATTGTCTGTGACTGCTGCACAGTTATCTCTGTGCGCTCTTATTTACGCACATGCATTTTGCTGTTTTGGCTGTATCTATGTTGCTGAGATCCCATTATGTGGTTTGATTAGGTCACGTTATTACACATCAAGGTCAGACACCCGTAATGGTTCGTGAGACAAGTCTCTCCGCCTTGATGCTGACAGTGGAGTATAGTGAGTACGGCCCGGATTGATTCGTAAATTCCGTGGTGTAAAGGGCAAACCTATAGCTTCTATTGTAGTATACACTGCCAGGGCACATCTTCATGTCTACCTCTCTTAGCTCACCACAAATTCTGGTACCTCGTTTCTTCGCCTTTAGATAATTTATTAACAAATATCAGTAGGGTATACGAAATAAGTAGATATATCGTCATGTAGTGTCAGTACCGTATAGGTAGTAGTACTGTAAATGTGGTACAGCACCGTTAGAAATATAAAACAAATATATAATAATAAACAAAAACCACAATTACGTAATCAAAATCGCAATGACATTGCCAATATATAATGACATCGGCAAAACCAATAATACGTCATCAATACAGCTGATCCCCGACGTCACCGGCCGTAATCAGGTGACCGCGGCATCTTGAGCTGTTAGTCGTTGTGAGGCGACAGTGTCACCAGCATCAACAGGTCACTACCCGCCAGGTCAGTGAACACCAGGTCATCTACGCACGTCTAACACCAAGTCACTTACTTTACGTCTATCTAAGCGTGCCAATAATCATCTTATTTGTCAAAGAAATAATACAACAGTTGTGTAACGATGTAATAAGTAATTGAAGATCTATTGTATGAATGGTAAAATAAGACCTGAGTGGGCAGTGTATATCTGCCGTGTTAAGAGTGTGATGAAGTGTTCATTTCTGAGTGTCACTGGAAGTGTCATAACAGCACTAACCAATCGCACGCGTAGTTCCTAACACACCACTCAAGTTAGTCCCAGAAGCCCGACTATCCATTAGGGACAGTATAATACACCTTACTGTATATTCTGCCTTCTGTGCACAAGGAAGCAGCCTGGCCAGGATAGCATTCGACCGTTTTCACTTCCCCCAATTATATTGTTAGTTACCCATTTACAGCTGGGTGGATTGTGGGTACAGTGCATTAGGATCAAACCAGTATCCCTCCACTCGGCTGCCTCGCCCCAAAGCATCACACTTAACAACTCACTAACTACCATTATCTTCTCAACAGAACAGCGACTATCCATGGTGAGGAGAACAGCAGAGGCAGGTAATGGTACCACTCAACACCTCTGTGGTCGGGGTGACACTAGGATCCCTACTGGTGTTATCTTGTGTGGTGCTGCTGGTGTACTACCTGCAGGGGCGGCAAAGGTACTGGGCTTCGAGAGGTATCCCGTGTCCCCCAGCGACACTCCTAGTGGGTCACACTCTACGAAGGCTGGGACTTACACAACCCTTCATGGAGGTCTGTTGTGTATGTTATGGTCGTGGTGTGTCAGTCTGTTTAGAAGTTATTTGTATCTGTATGTCTGTCTGCACTTGACATTATTAAAGAACAAAAATGGGGACGAGATAATGGATAGGAGGCTAGAAATTCATAAATGATAATATTTTTATATTTGTTTATCGTTTCACCACTTATCAGCTTAATAGCCGTTTGGCAGGTTGTACTGTTCTGTTACTTTGTAATGAACTTTATTGTCCAGTGTTAGTTCAGGAAGAAACCGGAGTACCCGAAGGAAACCTGCCATGTTTAGTAGGGTCACACTGGATAACCCCTTTCCCACGTGCGTCCGGACCACACTGGAACCAAGGCTTCTAATAATGTACAGTATTAAAATCCTTGCTGGGATCCATGACAGTCATAGTTATACGCTCGTTACCGCTGTACCACCACTGGGGTCACTAAGTAGGGGCGGATCCAGGAATATAAAAAAGAGGGGTCAAGAAGCTTTGGGTGGGGGAACATGGCGAGCAAAGCGAGCCCACCCCGCTATTTTTTAGGGGGCGCTGTAAGACTCCAGGAATTTGTTTTAATCTGACCATTATCCTGGGCATTTTGAAGCCATGTGCACTTGATATTCTGAGGTCAATAGTAATTACTTTTTATTGTACAAAAATGCCCGTGTACAATAATATTGCATTAAAGAAAATGTATTGGAATTTTCTGATGAAAAGTGGGGTCAGGACCCCCTAGATCCGCCCTTGCTAGGTCAAAGGTTGGGGTCATTGCTGTATTGCCTACTTTGTTCTTAATTTACAATAGCAAGGGTCACGGGTCAAAGTTGAAGAAGCCGCAAGTCCAAAAAACTGTGAGGGCTAACTTTTTCGGAGTGAGAGTTGTGAGCTCGTGGAAAAACCTGCCAGAGAGTGTTGCATCGAGTGTGAGCTGTTTCAAGACCAGACTTGACAAGCACTGGAGCAGGATCAGATACATTCAGGAGCCAGTGCACGCCCAGTACTTGCCAACAGAGGCGTGACCGACCGCCCAAACGGCTAACGAGCCGATCAGTGGCGAAGAGGATAAAGTAAAAAGTAATATACTTCTTTAACTCTTCATGAAAAAATAAATAAAAAATGCAGTAAAATCAGAAACAATTACCATAGTTGTGAAGTCTATTCAACAAGTCTACTTTCGGCAAGTGGATGGACACTCTTCGTTTTGATAAATCTTGTTAGGTTACATTTAGTTAGATTAGGATAGGCTATTGTTCCTAGATTAGAGATAGGTTATGTTAGATAGCCAGTGGCCATTAACCTGCAAATTAAGGCTGTCTAGGTTGATAGGGGTTACTTTAGGTTTCCCTGTTGGCTGCCAATCTGCATTGTGGAGACGATGGCTACTGATCAACTAATATTATTTATTTTATCCTCAGTTCTTCGACGAACTGTACCACAAGTACAATGGGAAGGATCTATGTGGCTTTTATGACTTCCTCAAACCTGGTCTGTTTGTGGGCAATCCTGAGCTCATCAAGAGTATCCTGGTGAGGGATTTCGATCACTTTGCTGATCGTAGGACTTTCGATCTATCTAAAGTAAGATATTAATTCGGTATTTGAAGTTATAGAAAAACATAAACCAAGTTAGTAGGATTAAGGTAAACTAATTATGGCAAGATATAAATTAAACTAATACAATTTCCAACTTGGGTATGATATAAATTAAACTAACTTAACTAGATTAAGCTAAACTATAACGAGAAATATCTGTACATGTACACTAAAACAACTTCACTAGCTTGCAATAGATGTTAAAATATATACTGAACTAACTACAGTACAGTATATTAAGGTACAGTTCATACAAAACTGAACTATTCTAAATGGAACTAAGATAGGATGTCAATGAAAGATTTATCCTGAAATTCCTTACCAAATTATAACGTATTTCTACAGTTATAGCTGATACATATTCTGGATTACCGTGCTTGGCATCTTCTCAGCTGCCCAGGTTTCTTCACACGAGGTTATAAGAAATAAACTATCAAAGCTAACGATTCACAAGAGTTATTTATGGAAATTAAGAACCAAACAGACTATGAAGAGCTGCAGAAAGATCTCTATGAGCTTCAAGAATGGTCGAGGAAATGGCTGCTAAAATTCAGTGTCACGAAGTGCAAAAGGATGCACCTGGGTCGCACCAAAAGTAAGGAGGTGTGTCATGTGTCTCCACAGAACGAAGAGTGCATTAATTGACAGAATGTGAAAAGGACCTGGGTGTGTATGTCGAAAATGAACTTAAATTCTCGGGCCACTGTAAGAAGGTGAATCGGGCAACGAAACTAGTACGTCTTATAAGAAGGTCGTTTAGATATCTGGATGGCTCGTCACAATCTTCAAGAGTGAGGTGCTTCCCCGTCTGGTCCCCGAGGTATGCTAGAGATTATCAATTGATTGAAAATATTCAAAGAAGGGCCACCAGACTGGTGCTTGCTCTATGGAACCTCAGTTACCCAGAGAGATTGGAGCGCCTGCTACTACCTAGCTTATACTACAAATGGGCGAGGGGCGACCTAATCGAAGTGTACAAACATCTCGGGGCACTACTCGGTCGAATGTACATACCTGGTGACCCCAGAGACACCGGCGCTGCCTTATCTGGTCCAAACCGTCCTAAGTCCACCAAGAACTCCTCGGAGAGTCGCGTCCATACTTGTGTTGTTATTCCCGCGTGGGCAAAATGTAAACAAATGACATTTTCTTACCTTTTTTAAAATTACGAAATTAAAGATACTAATGAGTAATCTTGGAAAGAAGAGTATTTATTACTTTATAATAATTTCAAATTTATACTAAGTAAAAATATTTTTTAATCACTATTTGTAGTATAAATTATAGATCTTGAGTTGACTCCGGTAAGTTGTCGTACGAGTCGTCAGTGCAGACGGTCTTTACCGTTTGACAAAAAGACTACGCTGACGATTCGTGAAAAAATCGACGAGTAATGAAAAAGTAGACCATAGAAATGCTAGTGACGCCGCCTTTAATAGTGTCGTAGCTTCGATGCACTAGACGCCATCTTTCCTGTCCTGTTCCCGCGAGAAAGACAGCTGCTTCCATATGGAAACGGGGTGTCCGTTTTTCAAGGCAATATACAGTGCGGTGCTAGGGAGTTGCTGTGTGGTGAGGAGCTTGCTGAGAGGTGGTGTTGCGGGGTTGTAGGTAGAAGGGCGTTCATATAGTGGAGGTAGGTGTGGCTTGATTGCCGACCTCCGCTTTGTCAGACCACGAGGCTTTGGCTGGGGAACTCGACAAGGGATCGGCTGGTCAGCGACAAACGGCAGTTGTAATGGAAATATCCACTACAGCACTACTGAATCCAGTGTCTATACCTGGAACTGGTGCATACTTGCCTCACAAGGGGTCTCACCTCTAAGGTTGAAGAAGCCAATAAGTCCAGAAAACTGGTGGCAAACTTTTTCAGAGTGAGAATTATGAACTCTTGGAACAATCTGCCAGAGAGTGCTATAACGGCACCGAGTATGAGCTCTTTCAAGACCAGACTAACACAGGAGCAGATTCAGATACATTCAGGAACCATTGGATGCCCAGTACTTGCCAACAGTCCGTAAGAGATATTGTACGAACAATATGACAGGCTGCCCAAGCAACTAACGAGCCGATCAGTGGCGAAGAGGATAAAATTACGAAGTAAAAGTAAAGAGGCAATGTATTCTGATGGCTCCCTAAATACCCCCAGTGGGAGGGTTGGAAGTTCGGTGGACTCCTTGCTCTGATATAAATATTTTGTATTGTAACCCTAATAGATTAATTAACTGAAATGTTATATTTTTTGTTAAAGATTTGTCCCTCACTTAAGAAGGAATAACTAGATGTCTTGGCACTTGGCTATTACATGTGTAGGTAAACCCCATCGCGAACGACATGCTAACGAACGCTCGGGGAAGTCACTGGAGAAAGATCCGCGGAGTTGTCTCTCCTGCCTTCACGACCACTAAGACTCGGCGGCTCTACCCACTCCTGCGACAACGAGCAACGCACCTTCTTCAACTGGCTGGTCTTACAGCCACGAGAGGACCTGTCGAGGTAAATATTCATGAGTATCTTCAAACCATTCTGAGATAACGAAAAATAATACTCTGGTCATAAGGAGTATTAAATTCATAAAATTTGCCCTTGAATTATTTTCAGACATTGAATAATAAATGGGCGATATACTGTACTTGATTGTGTATCATTCTTTTTCTGCCACTCCCTTTATATCTGTGTGCGTTTTCACATCTCCAGGCAACGATAAAGTTAATTTCTTGAGCTTACCACACGGGAGTATCAAGCTGCGGATAAATTTTTCCCGACCTAGTTATATAAGAATTGACTGATTGGTTAATGTTTATATTCATGCTAATTAGCTATCAATCATGACTAAATTGCTTCTCTAAAGGTTCCACCTCCAAGGGTTCGATATTAGTCACTAGACAATACACACATTCCACCCAGAGTCGCTATGGTAAGAGGGAAGCACTCTTCTACGGAACCTAAAATTTCAGATGTGGCACAAATAGAATGATAGAAATAACATCAAAATTACACATAATTTACCGTAGGATTTTTTTTTTCAATTTCTGTCCTATAGAGGGACATACAAATATCGGTATTACCAGCGTCATGATGCAGGTTAAACATCTTGTGACCACTAATCTCTCACACACGCACACACTTCTATATAAATAAATACTTGATAATAATGGTATTACAGGCACGAAAGCTGAGTGGTCGGTACACCATGGACACGATTGCCTCCTGCGCCTTCGGTATAGAATGTGAAGCTTTGAGTCAGGATACAGCCTCCTTCCCCACCACCGCCGCAAAGATCTTTCAACTCTCTCCCACCAGGGCTTTCAAGGTCAGTCTACATATCATCGAGGATCTCCTCGGCTTCTACGTTATTTTAGGCGAGGTCTTTCAACTCTCCCTCACCCGGGGTTTCAATATCAGTCCATGGGATATTCTAGAATCACACTAGGTCATCCGGTGTCAATTTTAAAGTCGTGGTGAGGAACTTATATGCTCTTAAAGCCACTGTCATGTACAGATAATCTCCTTCACAGAAATATAAAGTATTAATGTTTAAATAACATATTTCGAGTACTGTACAAACAACTCGTTGCACGTGTAAATACCCAATTTCACGTACAGATGTTGGTGTTGATGTTGGCGCCAAGGGTGGCTGAGTTGGTCCACCACTTGGGTCTAGAGTTCACCAGTCCAGAATTCCTCTTCTTCAGAGATGTGGTCACCCACACCCTCCACACCCGCCAGGAGACCGGAGTACACCGCGGAGACTTCCTCGACCTTCTCCTGGAAACCAGAGCCCACGGCAACTCGGGTAAGAGACCAGAAGATGTGATACCTTTGTTAGGAGACCAGATTATGATATCTTGTGTAGAAGACCTAGTTATTATATATCAGATTTATATCGCTTATGTTACTTGTATATTATTTGTCAATCAAGTGACCCATTCCCGAATTATGTAACTGTGTATTTTCACCCTACCGTCTGCCATGCTCTTTCAATAAACCGTTAATTATTATTTATTATTAAAAATGTGTTAAATCAAGTAGATCAGAAGCTGCATTAACTAGGGTGGGAGACCAAAGATGTGTTAACTCGGGTGGGAGATCAGAAGATATGTTAACTCGGGTGCAAGACCATGTGAAGGAGGTGAATCAAGCAACCAAGTTAGTGGGTCTTATTAAGAAGGGCATCCCTCGTAACACTTCAAAAGTGCGGAGTTTCTCCGTTTGAAGTAGTTACCCCATCTGGCTCTCAAGTTGTTATTATAACGTTATTGATGTGCTTTAACAGTGAAGGTCTTTGTAAGACAATAGTTCAACAACTTTAAAAATTTATGAGATAGAATTCTCTGTGTATGCCAGAGACTGTCAGTTAATTAAAAATTTCCAAAGGAGGGCCACCAGACTGCTGCCTGCACTATGGCACCTCAGGTACCTTGAGAGATTAGAATGCCTGCAATTGCCTCGCTTATACTGAGTGTTCATGGCTGGAGCTGGCTGATGCCCACCCCACTAAGGGTCGCAGCTTAAGGTTGAAGAACCCACAAGTTCGGGAAACTGTCAGGGCAAACTTTTTGGAGTGAGCATTGTGAACTCTTGGAACAATCTGCCAGTGTGTTGTGACGGCACAGAGTGTGAGCTGTTTCAAGACCAGACTTGACCAACACTGGTGCAGGCAGATACATTCTGGATCCAGTACATGCCCAGTGCTTGCCAACAGTGCTTACAGAGACCTGACCCACCGCCCTATCGGCTAACGAGTCGCTCAGTAGTGAAGAGGATAAACAATAAGCTAAATATGTGTTAACTTTGGTAGATAAGATGTGTTAACTCTGGTGGGACGCCAGAAGATGGGAACGAGACTGAGCAATTTGGATGTCATTTGGTTTTGGCATCTGAAAGACGAAACTTTGAGAATGAGGCTCGGAGATGTGTGCTTTGAGGAGGTCAGGCAGTACAGTATTCCAATGGTGGTTATACAATTGTCTTGTGTGTATAAATGTTGTGTAAATGTAACTTCAGATTAGAGTATTGTACTACTTTCCTGTAAATTTACAGAGTTGCGTGAATATGGGTGTTATGTGCTTATAAATGTAGTTTGAGTATTTATTTACAGTACAATAATAATGTGTAGCCCACATGTGTTGTGTATTTGGCTCTCAAGTGTGTTCACAAGTACTCTACTGTACTATACAGTGTATATATTGTATATGTGATGTCTGTATAGAAGTTGTGCGTGCACAAGAATTGAATGTGTTTTACCGTATATGAGTGTCGTATATATGAGATTGTGTGTATACAGTTGTGTGTCGTGCAGGTCTGTCGGATGAAACCATAGCAGCACAGTGCATCTTATTCCTGCTGGCTGGGTATGACAACACCGCCAACACACTGGCCATGGCCCTCCACCTGCTGGCCCACCACCTACATGTCCAGGCCACCCTCAGGAGGGAGATAGCCCTTGCCTTACTGAGGTATGTATGCCAAACTCGCTATGTAAGCAGTAAGTCCGTTCTGGCCTCTTTGGTGTATACCCTGTACTCCAAGTTCTTTATTTAACCATTAAGCTAGGTTCTCGAATTGGTTAATAAATTATGTTTTCTGGGTGATCAACTGATCATTGAGCCAACTTTTGTAGATGGGAGGGTGCCATACTCATAGGTATAAAGAACATCTTCATTTTAACATACATTGGCAGACCAGTTACAATCAAATAAATGAATGAAATGGTAATTGTAGCTGAAAAGTGAAAAGATGTGTTCTACTGTGGTACAGGTTTTACACAACTACACCCCAAATATAGTTTATACATTGCTTCACACATGGTAGTATCTTCAGCAGGAACATACCAGTGGCATATTCTTAACGAATGCAAGGCATGCATTGCAAAATATATTTTTAAATAGTATCTTCAATAATACAGATTGAGTCTTCACAGTTTTCACTCGGGAAAGCTGAGGAGACTCGGCGTCCCTCAATGCAAGCAGAAGGATAAACCGCATGCCCTCAATGGACACACCGACTGTGAGCTCTTTCAAGACAAGACTTGGCCAACACTGGAGCGGGTTCAGGTACATTCAGGAGCCAGTGCATGCCCACTATTTGCCAACAGTGCGTGACAGAGACGTGACCGATCGCCCGGGCGGCTAGCGAGCCGATCTTTTGGTGAAGAAGGTAAATGAAGAGACGTGACCGATCGCCCAAGCGGCTAACAAGCCGATCAGTGGCGAAGAGGATAAAAGTAAAAAGACGTAACCATTCAATCGATAACATGCTAAGATGAACTTTATTGTGTTGGTGCATAAGGAATTTTAGCCATTTTAGTCAAATTTAATACTTTTCCCTTAATAAGCATGGTCTTATGTTATATGGTGATATTATATTACCGAAGAGTTGTTCCAGAAGTGAATATTTAATAAAGTTTCTGGAAATGTAATGGGTACAAATGCATGCACTTCGAAAACTGCATTAACTTGTTGAGAGGCTATGTAGACCGGCGGGGCCTCTCCATCAGCTGGACAAAACTGGTCCACATTATGGTATTTTCACTTGGGAAAGTTATTCGGTTTTGTTTTACTTGAAATAATAATCGGATCATATGAATAAAAATATTTACTGATTATTTAAATGTTCAGCAATAAGATCATTGGCAACTTTACAGAGGGCCAGTATACTTTATTTCTAAATTACTGTAGATCACACTGAAAGCTTAATATTCTTTTGCCAAAAGTATTTTTGCACCCATTATTTAATGATTTATTAAAGATACTTCGTCAGATGCCACTGATATAATTTAAGAAATTAGGTGTTTATAAAAGCTTGACAACCCTTACTTACAGAAAGGCCATGTGCTACTTGATATTTGATAACTGATAATGTGGGTGTTCTGCATGCCTCGTCAGTGCAACCACGGTATGCCACTGGAACATACCCTTCCCCATAAATCACTTGATATCATACTGTCTGTTCATTCATTTACATTAAAAATATTTCACTTCATAATTACTCTTCATAGCATAGTTTCCTTTCTTTTTGTATATGCCACAAAAGTTCTTGAAATTGAACATATCTACCTCACTGGAGCCCTATCCAGGAGATGTTTTTAGTCTTTATCCTTTGTAAATGAACTTGACACAAGAGACATGATGTGATTGAAAGTAAGAGAGAAAGAGTTTGTTGGTGCAGGGGAGGAGGCGAGGTGATGCACGACACAGTGATGGCTCTGCCTTACCTAGATGCTGTGGTGAGTGAAGTGCTCAGACTCTACCCTGCTGCCCCGGTCATTGAGAGAGTCTGCACCAAGACCTACAAGTGAGTTGCCACGATATGTCTTCCATTTTATATTTTTGCAGTCCTGGTTAAAATAAGTACTGTACGTATTGTATTGTATCGGGAAAATTTTATTTATTCTGTATAACGGTACTGTGTTTGTCTTTTTTTTTTTACAGGATTAGTAATATATTTTATTGTGTACAATAATTATAAACATCTTTGATCGGGAGACACAATCACACAGATTAACATCATCCAAAACAACAAAAATTTGCATTACAAGTACAATAGTCCTAAATAAACATAAATTGTGTTTGCAGATTGCATCATATGTCAATATATACACTACAGAGATGTAACTTAGAGACTGAGAATTAGTACATAAAAAATAATGGAACAAAAATTATGAAAGTTGCAATAGAAAAATAAGGAAGCCTAAAGGAAAACTTGCACGATTTTTACACCAGTTTTATGTTTCTTGTACTTCCCACTATATTCATAGAGAAGGGAGATACAATGGGCTAAAAATTATTCCAAATAAACCATTTTTAACAGTAAGAAAATAAAGATTAAAAAATAAAAAAGGTCATCATGAATGTAAAGAAAAATATTAATTATCTAGTATTTCAACAATATCTTAGTGTTTCGTTCAAAGTTCCCCCACCCCCCTTTGGTAGATTTTTGGGTACACCACTGAAGTGTCTTGGATCTTGTCCAAATTTATCACGCTTACAATTTTATCTCCTTTTATCTGTGTATTCTTGCTCTATAACCACCATTTGTGATAAGTGACAAATTAACTACTATACGGGTATTTCAATGTTCTTTTATTCACTCTTTTGGCCATTCTACAACTGCATGTATACAAACAAGAAAGTATCCCTATTTTACCAAATGTAGTGCCTTTTTCTCTGAGGGCCCTGTGGTACAGTAAACCCTCGAAAGTCCGGGCAATTTTGGGGGAAAAGGTGATCCGGACCTTTACCAAGTGGGGGTCCTGGGGCCACTGTGCACTAACCAGCTCTTCCTCCTGCATTAGGGTTGTACAGAGCAATTCTTTTTATCCAAACTCATTGGGACCAATGATGGTGCAGATATCTAGACGTGCCTACAAGAATATGCAATACTGTAATTAACAATAGGTCAAAATTCTGTTCCCCCATAAGAATAATATAATAGGGGGTGCATTCCCAGCCAGCAACTTTCACCTCATTATCTGAGGTTGTTGGGGACCAGGGTCATGTGTTTACTGTATTACCAGTAAATGTGAGGAATAAATAAAAATTTTATTAATAAATAAAATAAAAAAATACCGCTTTGACAGTTGGCAATAGTTTCACTACGCACAGAAGACTGGAGCGGCTGAGATCTCCTATACTGTATTATTCCTCCTCTCTCAGTCTGGGTGCAAACTACTGTACTGTGCACATAAGAACTGTTTATTCCCTTTGTTTTTGACCTTATGATAATTTTTTTCCCATTCTGTATGAATGATTGTGTGTGCATGTAACAGTAAAAGAAAAATGAAATAAACTCCATATATCTACCCAAAAATACGAGTTGAAAAATAGCAATAACGCAGCTCACAGCTTGACCAGTAGGTGGAGGCTGAAATCCTTGAACCACACCCTCATTCCCCTCCCACGATCCTACACGAACTCCTGTGGACAAATTAAATGTTTATTCTCTTAATGTTTTGACCTTATGAAAAAATTTTTTTTGCACATTCTGTATGAAAGACTGTGTGCACGTAACAGTAAAAATAAATGTAAACAAAATGTTTAATGGCGCGACGTGTAACCAATACAAAGACGACACAAAGGGCGAGTGAGGGAAACACACCTTGTGGGTTGTGGCTCAAGAGAAGCTAACCATTCACAGTGTAGCATTATGGGCAAGTCCGTTCTAAGAGTGGGGGAATAAACTGCTCATTCACGGGCTCAAAAGGAGGAGAGGGGCCTCAAGGGATTACTTGCTGGCGGCAATTTCAAATGACCAAGTACAATGACAATTTCAAACGACAAATATTCAAGGGTTCGTGATGTCTGTTTCTTGCCCAGACAGGGTCAAGACTATCTGAATTCTGGACTTGTGGGGTCCGGAATTTCGAGGGTTTACTGTATTGATTCACAACTTGTGGAATAAAACCTGTTACTTTACAACTGAAGACAAGTGCCTTCCCTTCAGTTCTAATAAAGTTCTGTATCATTCAGTGTTGGTGGGGTAGAGGTGGAGGTAGGTATGGGTGTGCTGGTGCCAGTGTGGAGCATACATAGGGACCCACAACACTGGCCACAACCACAGCAATTTCTGCCACAGAGATTCCTTGGAGCTGCCCGCTCTGACATAGTTCCCTACACTTATCTTCCCTTTGGTGCTGGCCCTCGCAGTTGTATTGGTGAGTCTCAAATATGTGTTATGTCTATGCCTATGTGCAAATGGATGTATTAATGTTCAAATTGAGGAGAGGGGATATTCTGGAGGATAATTGTGTTTAAAATTTTATGTACATCTTGTAATCTTGTAGGTGTATAGACATGGCAGTATAAATAAACATTTATTGAAGTTGTAGTACGAGCTTTCTCACAGTGACATGTCACCCACAGGCATGAGGTTTGCCCTGCTGAGCGTCAAGGTGGGACTAGTTTCACTTCTCTCCAATCTAGAAGTCCAACCCTGTCCATCATCTCCCCATCCTCTACCCCTTGACCCTAGAGTGCTCACTCTGCAGCCCAAGGATGGTGTATATGTCAACCTGAAATCAATAAACCTAAGGGAAGCTGTGGAGCAAGAGATGATAGTTTATGAGGCAAACATTGCAGAGGACAAAATTCTGACAGAGGAACTGAAGAGATGGTATAGCCAAAGAGATTTGACGTCCCAATCATAAGTCTGACATGTACTTGATGCAAGTTTAGACAAAAATATTTATAAAGTTTGACTAATTATATATAGTGTACTGTCCTAACTACAAGTTGTCTATTTGTTTGTTTTATTGTTATAACAAGAAAGATGTCAGTATGTGTGCAAAGAACAATTGTCTCATTACCTGGGCTGTATCTCTTAAATGCTGTGAGTTTTGATGAGCAAAAAAGGAGCCTGAGAAAAATTTTGATAAAATGTGACTTGACAGATACTGTATTTATATTAAAATAAGTGGATTAAATGTATATAAATCAACATCCTTTTATCCTAAATAGTCATTAAAATTCTAGCCTCTTACTCTTCATAGCTTTGTACCAGTTCATACACATTGACATTAATGAATTAGCCAAGTTATTGACAGTGAAAATGCTTTGGGTCAATATTTTGTTGCCATACTGTACCCCTGATAGCTGAAAATCTTCCTTTGCACCTAGAACCCATAGGTAAATTAGCCTGGCTGCTATATACTGTACTGTACTGTAATGTACTCGGGTTCTCTTGCCACTGTATCTCGGAGGTAGTTTTTCTGGTGGCAATTCTAAAAAGATGCAAACTATAAAATCACAAACTACATTGTATATTATGTGATGTTTAGTAGGGTCACACTGGAGAACACCCTTCCCACGTGTGTCCATGACATATTGCTGAGAGTTATACATGTTACCACCCAACACATCTGTTGTTAACTCTATACACCCTCCACTGTCATCTTCTCAAATGTTCGTAACATCTTGAACACGTCTCTTCACCTACAAACGTGTAAATGGATTCCAATCTCTCTTGATCATCAAGATTAGTTATTAACACACAATAGTATTGTATCCTAGAGCATTTAATGTTCATTTACACATAAGTGTGTCATGAAACCGGATTTCACATAGGTTTTGGATCTTGAATCTTTTGAAAGTACAGTACAATGTTGTTCATACTGACAACAGAAGGTTATTGAAAAAGGTTGACCATTAGTCACTTGCACAGTTGTTCTCTTGTGGATTGTTCAGAAGTACTCTGTATAAAAACAAAAGTATAAAATGGCTTATAAGATGACATGCACTGCAAACACCCTTGCTTAATAAGTCTATTTAAAAAAAATAAATAAAACAAATATATCGGTTGAAATGTAACAGTATATTTAAGCAGGTCTCCACAAATGACATAACTTTTTCTTATAAACATTCATTTACATAATTTATAGCTTAACAAATTTATCTCTTCTAAATAACAATCCATTACGAACATTGATAAAAGAGCCAAGTCAATGAGTAAGCAGTAAAATTTCCACCTTCATTTAACTAATGATGTTAACTACTGATGGCTCAACCAGTTACTACTGTCACTCTCTGATGGTGAGCAATTATGTTGTCCAGAATACTTGTGTATGTACAGTATCCTGATGTACTTGGTGCATCATGGTTTAAAATGTGCACCACACCCATCCTGGGCAAATGCAGGTTCAATTGCTTTAACAGAATTAGTGGGAAAATATAACCAATAATTATACTGTACTTACTGTACAATACAGGGTATGTATTTTTTGAGATGCTCTACTAACTTGCTTTGTAATGGTGATATTACTATTAGTACTTTACGAGACTTCATATTCAGTATATAAATAGCATCATATAATTTCACTTTCAAACAATTACTGTACATATAAAAAAATTATGATCCAAAATTTACAAATTAAAGTTGTTTGTAAATGCTGACAGGCAGATGATCATTAGTACAGCACCCTGAGTTCACAAAGGGATTGTAGTCAGCCCCACTCCATGGAACCTGAGTGTTAATAAAAGTGAAATTCTGAGTTCAGAACATTTTAAACGAACAGAGGACGTGATTAAATATCTATAACTGTCTTGGGCTTCTTCTCTTGACAAGTTACCAAAGTGTATTAACTCTGCTGGTCTCCAACCTAACTTAACCAATAGGATTGGGGCCCCTAAAGCCCCGTCCACACGATCGAGCAGTGCCCGGCGGGCTTTGCCCGTTTACCAGGCAAAGCCTGTGTTGTTGTTGTACACACGGGGGTGGTTGGCGGCAGTCATAGTCGGGCGCCGGTAGCTAGTAGGTGGTCAGCAGTGGCGGGTGCGGTACGATCACCATGGTGTGTCGCAGGAATAATCGCCGTACAGTTAAAGCGAAGAGCATAGCGTTGTGTACTAAAATAATTGCTTCTATGTGCAAAAAGAACCAAATTCAGAAAAGGGAATGGTGCAAAGAGTAGTTAGGTCGAAGAAAAGTATTGGGAAGTCCTGCCACGATTTTACGTGAACTGCAAGATGGACATGAGTAAGACTTCACCAATTACAAGAGAATGGACCCCAACACATTTTACAAACTTCTAGCAAAAGTGGAACCCTATATATAAAAAAACAGGATACCTATATGAGGGAGAGTATATCTGCAGAGGCTCGTCTAGAGGCAACGCTCATATATCTTTCAACTGGGTGCACCTACATGTCACTTCAGTATAGAACAAGGATATCAAAACAAAGTTTGTCTGGCATAATACCTGCAACTTGTCAAGTCATGTATGAAGTATTCAAAGAAGATTACTTGCAGGTGAGTTTTGTAGTACATAAAAATTCATTGAATAATGTTAGAATTATGATATGCATAGACAGGAAGCTATGGGACTAGAGGAGAGCGGCAGGAACGAAGAACACACGAATGTCCTCATTACACAATACATAAACAATCTCCCGTTTATTGTCACGCCAATAATGTACATTGCATAAGCTTATTTGGTTATACACTGGACATCTGGACCGAGCTGGGAACATATACATATCGCATTTGCAGTACTTAACTCAGGTTTTACAAAGTGTTAGCATACGTTCTGTCAGTATCTCTGTTCATACCTCACTGACTTGAGGACCCCGAGGTCAGCGGTGGTGTAGTGATCAGCTGTTTTTGACAGTCACGTGAGGTTCCAATAACAACACTTGTCTTGTATTGCAGACTTGTGTAATGTTGAATATTAATGACAATACTATAGGAATGTCGGTTTTCCGGTTTTATTGATTATTAATAATGAAAATGATATTAAAACATATTAATATTTGTGAAGGGGTCCCAGTGTCAACTAGTTTGTCTGGCAGAGTCGTCGCTCCATATCCGGCAGCAAACCACCAGGCAGGCGGACCATGATTTCGCTCAACGACGGGCACGGGCACTACGCTGGTTTGCCCGCCAATTTTGCCCGATAACTGGCATTTAGCGCGTGCCAGCCGGGCACTGCTCGATCGTGTGGACGGGCCTTAACAGTGAAGTGAGTTTGGGATCCATTTGTCTGGCAGTTCTCTATCTTTACCGACCACATGACCTTGTTCTTACAGAGGTCAACCTTACTAGTGTAGTGCACAATATATCAATTCTCACTTTCTTTACATGTTCAACTTCCTAACAATCCTGTCTTACCAATCAATGCCCCTTCACAAACTTGTCAGCCACCAACATCCATTTCTACATTCTATCTTCGTCCCACTGAGCTTCTCAAAGCAACTTACTCATTCCACTCGCCCTCTCAAATCATCTACTTCACATTTCACAGTGATTCTCTTCACAGCAATTAGTCCAGATCTTACATTCTTGCCTTTCCTACTTTTCTTGTCATTCCAATAAAATTGGTAGGACTCAAATTTAACTGGATAAGACATCTTTAATTAAGGATTTATTTTTAAACCCAAGACAAGCTTGTCATCAGAAATTTTTTTTACATAGCATAAGTAACATTACTGCTGGACAAAGATTTGGTTATATCTACTCTGGAGTGGATAGATGCCAGAATGAGTGAAGCAAGTGCCTTAGTCATGTCATTTACACTTCTCACAGAATAACATTTAGTACACTCATAATTTTACAGGTATTTGCAAAATATTCCTGCACTATAAGCGTACGAACTTCCTTAGCACTGTCTTGTGTTATCCAGGAAGAAGTATCACTGGTCAAGTCTATAACTGGCTTATCACACAGCACTCGGCCAAATAGCTCGTACTGTACTGTACTTTCTTAAGATATGCAGAATTATTGGTATAAAATTATCTGCAGTCACCTTACCAATCTAAATACTGTATATGTTTTAAAGTTTTTATCAAGATGGCATATAAAAGAATTATATATCCTGTTTCATCTTCTATTTCATACACATTCAGGGACAAAACGAGATTTACATTATCAAAATGTTCTCATCTACATTAGCAGCAGATCCAAATCTTTTTTGAGAAGTCATAATTCTTCTTTGGAGGGGCAAGGGAGACAGGAAACAAGAAATGGAAGAGTTGATGTCAACCTCAGCAAAAGAATTATTGTATATACTTTCTATAGGTACACACATTTTTTTGAATGGTCTTGTACATATATTGCATTTCTAAATCTTAAATTTATTATGTCCAGTTTTGTCTACTTGGAGGTACATTTCAACGGAGCAATTTTTTTTCCTAAGGGGATGAACTGATAGAGAAGTACTGTACTGTATTGTACTGTGCATCCCCTTGAATCTAACATTATTGCTCATGCTTATAACTAAACAATTTGTTCATTCAGTTAATAACTTGATGGAGGCATTGGAGGTGGGGCTTGGGTGGGATCAAATGGCATATGAACTGGAGGTGGGTGATATGTATAAGGTGATAGGGGTGGTGGTGGTGGCATGCTGTGTGGAGGTGGTGGTGGGATATTGTGTGGAGGAGGTGGTGGTGGGGCATTGTGTGGAGGAGGAGGTGGTGGCAGCATATTGTGCGAAGGCAGTGGCATACAGTGAGGTGGTGGTGGTGGTGGTATCATACTGTTTGCTGGAGGGGGTGGTAGCATCCTGTGTGCTGAGACTGGTGGTGCATATTGTCCTGAAGTAGGTATCATGTGAGGCGTTGCTGCAGATTGTTGGAACCATTCACTCCCTCCATTACTCACAGAATCAATTCCTGAAGGTGAAGGATGCTGGGAAGATTGCATTAATTCACCAAAAGAGCTGTCTGGGCCTCCTTGCCCAAATGAATTTGCTACTGGGGAAGGAGGGAGACATGGGAGATCTGGCAGACCAGAAGGGGGTGGCAAGTATCCTCTAGGACTCATGAATTGTGGAGATCTACCAAACTGCATGTGTGGTGGCTGGGGCCAAGAAACTGTGCTAGGAGGAGGAGGACCATTGTGATACCTGTCGCTTTCATGAGGAATCGGAGCCATGTCTTGGTTACCTGCCATTTCCATCTGACCGTGGAAGTTGGAAAAAGGCCTTGGTTCATACACTCCCGGATTCTGTTGCATCCTTGGAAGCCCTTGAACATTTGGTGGACATGCCATGGAAGGACCTTGTATGAAACCTGGAGGACCCATGGGGAAAGGTGGAGGTCCACGTGGCCTAAATCTTGACTGCATCATGTGAGGGCGACCAAACCAGTTGGGAGTTCTTGGCACCATTCCACGCCCACCAAACGAATTAAGATTACCATTTTCTCTCCGAGTTTCAGGGCGGCTATGCCCACAACCAGGACCTTGAACTTGCCCTCGACTACGTTTCCTTTGAGGCTGGAATTCACTCGAAGAAGGTACCTGGAAAAATAAATTTAAGTGTGATACAGCAATTAGACATTACAGTATTCTGTGGATATTTTAATATAAACCAAAAATTATCATTAAAAAGATGTTTTGTGGCATTTTAAGATATTTTGAGGAAGTATTTTTTGTAGGAACGTATCTCCGTTTTTATAATGAAGGTACAGCACCTTCTTGATAACTTGGCACATATATGTGTACAGTGGACCCTCGATTAACGAACACAATTGGTTCCACAGTCGTTCTTTAACCGAAAATTTCGTTAACTGAAACTATTTTTTCAATTGGATATTGGGTAATTGGCTCCAACTCACATACAAAGTACTCTATACCGGAAATAGAATTAAACAACATTAAATATAAACTAAATACAGCACTGTACTGTACAGTACAGTATACTGTATAATAATAAATAAAAACCAATAGAATACTGTATTTTAACTTACTTTGAGGTGTATGTCGTATTCCAGGCAGCTTTGTTTACATATCAAACAGCTGATTGTAGAGGCAGTCAATGATGACATGCCATATTCTTTACAGAGTGCATTGGTTCTAATGCCTACTTCTTGTTTCATAATAATTTCTGCACTGAATATTATCAATAGGTGAACTAAATTTCAGAATAACCAATAATTTTAATGTAAAAATGCAAAAATATTCAAGAGCACAACTTTCTTGATATTTACTCCACTGGAAATGAATGTAAACATAGAAACAATTACTGTATTGGCGGTCTAGCCGATCAGCTGATGCGCACAACAAAGCGTGTTTCTCATAAGGCTTTCGTTAATCGAAGTTTTGTTTGTTAATGGAATTGAAAATCCTAATGGGAGCTAATTCGTTAACCAATTTTTTTTTTATTGGACCGTTCGTTAATCAAGGGACCATTGTACCTGTAATTACTAAATGTAAAATGGTAACACTTACCAGCACTGCAGGCGAAGAATGAAACATCATAGTAGGTGACACAGATGCATTACCATACAGATGTATGGCAGGTGACACAGGTATGGTAGGTGATACAGAGGCATGGTAGGCAACACAGAGGTATGGTAGGTGACACAGAAGCATGGTAGGTGATGCAGATGGCCAAATAGGTCGAGATTTTCCCAAATAATTTTACATATCTCGGCATTTCCCGAGTTATACTAATACATTCCAAGACCATATCCATGCCGAGTAATATGAAATTCCGAGTTATCAAATATGGGAAAACATGATCCGATACACTGTATACATAAATCATTTACGAAAGTTTTTTTTTTTAGGAATGGAGCCCTTTTGAAAATTGGGGAATGCATGTACAGAGTATTGTGTATCGAGTTAGTCAGGGATTATTTCACACATTCAAAACTCACCTTGTTTTGCATCTTGTCCTTTAATGCCCTTGCCTCTTCCTCATCATCTGAGAAATCTTGGCATTCACTTGGTGGCAGTTCATTACCCGTTAACCCAGAGGCATCACTGCCCCTGATCCTAAAACAATAGATAATATCAAAACACAAGAAAATATACAGTGTCATAATACTAAAAGACTTCACTGGCCATTAATATAGCAGAATGACAATTATTTCACATCTTCATTTTTTCTGGTAATGAGTGCAGGTGACAAAAGAATAGGAAGAGGCAAAATGTACAGGACATGGATTGACTTAGAGTATATATATATATATATATATATATATATATATATATATATATATATATATATATATATATATATATATATATATATATATATATATATATATATATATATATATATATATATATATATATATATATATATATATATATATATATATATATATATATATATATATATAAATATATATATATATATATATATATATATATATATAAATATATATATATATATATATATATAAATATATATATATATATATATATACATATATATATATATATATATATATAAATATATATATATATATATATATATATATATATATATATATATATATAAAATATATATATATATTATATATATTATATATTATATATATATATTATTATATATATTATATATATATATATATATATATATATATATATATATATATATATATATATATATATATATATATATATTATATATATATATATATATTATATATATATATATATTATATATATATATATATATATATATATATATATTATATATATATATATATATATATATATATATATTATATATATATATATATGTATATATATATATATATATATATATATATATATATATATATATATATATTATATATATATATATATATATATATATATATATATATATATATATATATATATATATATATATATATATATATAATATATATATATATTATATATATATATATATTATATATATATATATATATATATATATATATTATATATATAATATATACATATATATGTTATATATACATATATATATATATATATATTATATAATTATATTATATATATATATATATATATATATATATATATATATATATATATATATATATATATATATATATATATATATATATATATATATATATATAGAGGTTGGATATTGGTTAACCATTTTCCTCAAGTATTACTCAAACATAACTTCATCTTCAGTAAAGACGCTTGAAGTACATCTAGCAACCATCACATGCATTGATCTCAGCTGATTTCTCCTTCTCTTGTAATTGGTTAATGATTTTGTTAACTGAGCGATGATTGGCCAACTAGCTCATGCACTGCTATCTACCTTAGGACAGAACTGAATTTCCAGTGTAAACACTAGAGTTACAGACTGCTTACGGACCCGTTATTAAATTTTGAGTATGAGAAATTTATGGGACTGTAAGGAGTCGTATCTCTGCTACTGTACGTAACTGATGAGGCATTTTGAGCATGCAGTCTCATAGAATATAGAATTTGTTTATCTTCCTGTAGTTCTGACTTAGTTGAGTTTCTGCACTGATACTTTGGGTACAGTATGGTCAGAATGACTCTGTTGAGAAAAACATACATATACAGTATTACCCATTTCCCTTAAGTGGGGGTAAAGGGAAGGAAAAAGTTAAATATTAATATGGAGGATTTAGTTTACATATGGGAAGAGCAAAAACAATGAGTGTTGAAACATGTAGAAGCCTGACTATAAACAGAATGCAGGTAAAATAAATCTGTTACCAAACTTACTTCATAAGATCACTGATAACAACAAAACTGGTGTGTTCTGTGCTGGGGGCAAAATACACTTGGTCTCCCAATTCAACTTTATAGCCATGTACGTGCTCAGTAGAATTGAAGCGCACCACGTAGAAAGGTTCCTGCACAGGACCAAACACATCAAATACTTGCCCCAGCACTCTCTTGCCCTGATCCAAGAATAGTACAGAGTCCAAGTCAATGGCTGGGATGTTGGGGAAGGCTGCAACCACAACTGGAAACAATCTTTTATTAAATATTTATTGTAAAACAACTTACAATATATTTACATTCTTGTTCATATGATTATTGTTAAAAAAAAAAGTTTCTCCATTTAATGTGTTCAAAGAGCTGAAGTACATACTACTGAGTTTGGTAATTTGGTATACAGGATAAACAAGACACAGGTAATGAGGAAAGAAGAGGTCAGTGGATCAAGGAAAATACTTAGCTTGACAAATTTACCAACCTTGTTGCGCCACAATGTTAAATACTTTGCCTATGGGAGTAGCCTTTTCCTCTGGTACAGATATTTTCAAGTCTTCAATGGGTGGGAGATCCTCAAGGAGCATTTCTCCTGGTGTAAGTAGAAGGTCTCTCCTAGATGAGGGCTTCTTCTGTGCCTCCCCTCTGTTAATGTCAACAAGTATCACACACCCAGGTATACTTCTTTATGTTACAATAATTCTTTTTTCAATTTATCAATATAGCCACATTTTATATTCTTTGATGCATCCTAACTCTTTTGCCCGAGTGTTGCCATCCTACAAACTTAAGGGAAATAGCTTTTGAGGAAATGGCAAATGTGAAAATCAGAGAGAACTATTTCTACTCACAACCTACCAAATTTGTCCTTATATTTACAGTCATTAGTCAGACTATGAAGATTCTGGTTGTTGAACAATCATCTCAAACACAATGGTTCTGCACAAATCAGAGAAATAACTAAATGATATCTACTTTGGTGAAGAAAGTACTCAGAGACAGTGAAAAGAAAGTAGTGAAGATTTTAAGAGTAAATAATCAAACTAAGGAGAGGAAATAATGGAAATTATAAATTATATGTTTGGTGACTAAGCAATATCAGCCAGATTCCTATAATCAATGCAGTTACACATAAGGGGGAAGTCACTTATACATAAAAATAAGCACAAAGTCATGTGTGCACCAAACATATATACTGTATAAACTAACTAACCATAGCCACACAAACACATAAAGTCCTTATGTTACTTGTATATTATTTGTAATTCGAAACCCATTCCCCAAATATGTAACTGTATATTTTCAGCCTTCTGGCTGCCAAGCTCTTTCAATAAACCGTTAATTATTATTATTATTGTACAATATATTTCAATATCAATATTCGTAATGAGCATTACAGTACTAAACTAAGTTTAGGTTATACTTTTTGTGAATTATTTGTTGTTAAAGTTCTTTATATATTCATTACAGCCATGTACTGTATTGCTTACTTACTGGTGCTTTTCATTTTGTGAAACAATTTCTACCCGACAGGAAGATGAGGAGCTTGCTTCACTTTCATCTGAGGAACTTTCATATTTTGACGAAGAAGATGATTCAGAGTCACTCTCCGAGTCATCACTTCCAACATCAATTAAATGTCTATAGCTACCTGTCATGATGACATCAAGTTCTGTAGCCTCACCAGTAACAATTCCATTACTTAAATTCTGTCCCAAAACTGCTGGTACACCACATTGATTACCATTTCCACTTGGCAACTGACAAGACACTGGACTTGTACTGTTATCTTGGTGTTTAGGGGATACATGTACAGCACCATTTTCTGGAACTTCATTGGCCATCATAGCTTCACTGTGATCATTCCTGCTGCTGTTGGGTACACTGTCCTCCATTCCATTATCCTCTTCGCTGTCAGATATTCCATAGCTTGTTAAAAGCGACAGAGCATTGCAGGTGGATGTGTTTCCTTCTCTCTGGAAAAAATTAAGAAACTATGGTCCAGTATTAAGAGCATTAAGAGTTTCTTCTACAATTCATGTGGACCTACTAGTATGAAATTAATATGACACTGCTAGAAGGAAATAAGACCCCTTCCCCAATGTTTTTACCAAGTAGGACCTCTAACACTAGTGTCTTATTGACATTCATGACCACTGATCAACATAGGTACAAATATGATTTAAAACTTCTGAAGCACCACCAGTTACACACGCAACATCTAATAATAAGCAGCATTACTATAATACAGGTATGCAGGATTCATAACAATTAAAAATTCCAAAACTTTTCAACACCTTTCTCATCTTTATCCAATAACATGTACCTATAATGCAAATGCTCCTTATAAAGAGGGCTGGCTAATGGGAAGATTACTGTAGCCATATTCAACTAAGCACAAACACAAATAATATTATGCATTCTGAATTGTATATTACCAGTACATGTACTTAATACAGTACCTCTCCAGAATTCCCAGGAGTCGTAGTATGCTCTAAGGCTTCATCTTGTTCCATTGGAGTATAATTGGTAGGTGATGGTGATGAACTAGTAACAATTGTTATTGCTGGAGTTGTACCCATCTTGGTTGGAGTTACATCTGTTATGTTTGTAAAAGTATCTGATATTATTGTTGGGGGGGCATCTTTGAGTATTGAGGCTTCGCCTGTGGTTACCAGCATTGGAGAAGTATTTATAATTGTTAGAGCTGTGTTTACAGTGGATGAAGCTGTGTCTGTAGATGTTGGTCCTCTGTCTTTGGTTTCTGAAGCTTTGCTTATGGCTCTTAGGATCAAGTCTGTAATGGTCAAGTTTGTACCTGTACTAGCTGAAATTGTAACTGGTACTCCTGTAAAGACTGGTTTTCTGTCATTGGTAGTTTTGAATGTGTCTGCAATGGATAATGTTTCCCTGGTTGTGGACGTCATTATGTTTGAGGTGGTTGAAAATGACCCAGTGCTAGCTGGGGTTGTGTCTGTGGTACTTGAGGTTGTATTCATGTCTGTGGCTGGGTTCATAGTAACAAGGACTGAATCTGTGTTACTTGTACCTGCAGGGTTTGTTTCTACAGAGGTGGTAGATGGTTGTAGAGGTATGGTGGTACAAACTTGTTCTGTATTAACTGGAGCAGAAAGAGTCAGAGTTCTGTCTGTAGAGACTGAAACAACATTATTAATAGCTGTAGCAGAGGTGGAGACGATGTTCACAGAAGGGATGAGATCATTAGGCTGCGAGCTAACAGTACGGTTATGAGCTGAGCCCTCTGCTACCGCATCTTCTTCAATGGCACCCATTTTCAATCACACCTTCAAGACTCACACTTCTGTGAAGACAATGAAAACCATGTATGAGAAAAACATATGTTTATGTTATCAGAATATCAGAATACAGTATACGGAATTTTATTACCAGAATATCAGAATACAGTATACGGAATTTTATTACTATGAACAGTCCCCATTCATGGTACACAAAAGTACAAACAAGAAAACTAAGATATGCTGTAGGGTCAGTAATATATCAGGAGAAAGAGTTAAGTTCAATAACAGTTTCTAGTTATCCACTAAAGCTGTACATTTACTGTGGGTAATACAGTACTGGAAAAGACTATTGCACATTACCCAGGAATTTAAAAAAAAATTATATGCCCCATAAGTGATGAGGCATATTAATCAATGTCGATGCAGTATGGCGCCATATTCACTGCTTATACACTATGCGGAATGCTTCCAAAAACTTACCAGTTACTACTACTTTACAATACACTGTATTGTACAGTATATGATTTATTGAACATATAATGAACCAATTTAACCTACCTATTCTCAGTTGTTTGGTTAAACTACAAAATATGCAAGTCCTTATTTCTTGAATTTGACAAAATATTATGAAATCTAGTACGAGAGGAAAATACTTGACGGCATGGTACAGCCTTAGAAAATTCTTCTATAGAAAACATATGCTGCTGTCTTACTTCGAGACAATGACACAGTGCATGAAGAATGTGTTTTGAGCAATACATTATCAGTTTTTATGTCCAATATTGACAGAAAGACAGCCAGACACAACCTTGCCATGTTTAAAGTGTAGGAATTGTTCTTTTCAGATTTTTTTCTTTAAGAATAACTACAGTATTTAAGGTTAGGTTCACTAGGTTAGTTTTCTTCATTCTATGAATGACGAATTATAATTATAGACTGCAGCTCTTATCTAAAAGAGAAAACAAAAAATCTATTAAATAAATCATCGCACAAGGGTTAGGGTCATCTCGTACCCAAGAAAACTTGTACCCAACTCACGAGATAAGCCGTACCCAAGATTACTTACACCCAATTCAAGAGATAATCCATACCTATTAGTATATACTGTATACCTTGCATTTTAGCTTTATAAGAACTTAAGAAAATAAGGAGTCTGCAATAGGCCGGTTGGCCTGTGCATGGCAGCTCCTGTCGAGAGTTACTACCACTCTCTATCATCCATGAATCTATCTAGCCTCCTTTTAAAATTTTCCAGCATCCCAGCACTTACTACAAAGATGCTAAGTTTGGTCCACTCGTCTACCACCCTATTTGTGAACCAGTTTCTTCCTATCTCCCTCCTAAACCTAAACTTATCCAACTTAAATCCGTCGCTACGAGTCCTATCCTGCTTGGATATTATAAGAATTTTATCTATAGTATCTCCTTTATTGATTCCTTTCACCCACTTAAATACTTCTACCATATCTCCCCGCACTCTTCTTCTTTCCAGGGAATGCAAGTATAATTTCTTTAATCTATCTTGATATGGAAAGTTTCTAAGTCCTGGAATCATGTCCGTCATTCTTCGCTGCACTGACTCCAGTGAATTGATATCCATTCTATAATCAATAAGGGCACCAGAACTGAACAGCATAATCAAGGTGCGGCCTGACTAGCGCAAAATATATAGTTGCAATATGACCTCCGCACTCTTATTACTTACACTTCTAGATATAAAACCTAATACTGTACTCAATGATTACAAAAAAAGATTATGTAAATCTTATAGGAAAGTGCAGTGAAATAGGGAAATGTAATTCAGGCTTTAAAATGGTTGGATTTCATTACAATTGTAAGTTATTCCGTCACACAAACATTGCACTACAAATACATATTTCACACTATGTGGTTTAGAAAACTTTATCGCAATTTACAGATTTCAGGTTAATAGATTTGGCAATTTCAATTTATAAACTGGGCGATGTAAATGCTTAAAATGGTCATAAGTCAACAAAATATAGACATGCATAAAATCGGGGTCTGCCAATATCGTCACCAACCCGTTTCATCACCACTATTTTTAACCCGTTGCGTAACTACTGCTTTACCCATTTCATCCCCACTGCTTCACCAGTTTCATCACCGTGTTCATTCCCATCAATATATACACGAAAATAACTGTTGCTTGGGATAGAAAATAGTAAAAAAATTGAGACAATTTATTAAAGACGAAAATAAATAATAAAAACATTGTTAATACGCCTGCAATCATCTCAATGCTCGGTGCTTTATGTGCTGGTGCCAAATCACCTTCATTTGTTCTGTATTTTGTTTATTCATCAATGTCGAATCGTTTTCTTTATTAAATAATTAATATTCATGTATAATAATAACACATAATTTCTCAAGTCGTCTGTATACATGTGTAATTTCTATTCGTGTAAAATAATAACTTACAATTTGTCACTAATACCAGTGACTGTTAGTAGTGATGAAACGGATTTGATATTGATAACGATATGGGGTTTTGGCGACGAACAGGGTCGGTGACGAAATGGATTGGTGACGATGTGGGGTGTATCCATAAAAACATTGATTTCCCAGCTCCCGCTTTTTGTAAGCAAATCAGTTAGTATACAGTATATAATTCGGGGCTCCTATCTGGTACTTCTTCCAGTACAGTATAACGAACTTGTTCTACGCAGTGGCTGACATCATGACATCGTCAGGAATCTCTTCTTCTGACATGTCAATATCAAGAATGAAATACAGTAGTAATAAGGATATAAAAGAACAAAGAGAGAGAATATTGGCCAACGTATAAACACTTACTTATGTTATTGTACGTTAATGATACTCTGGATAGATTTGTTTGAAAAGTCACGACCACACGGAAACAAGACCAGTATGAGTAACGTAATGACTTGATTATGTGTCACCCAATATTCACACTATTCATATACAATATTAAAATTAACCTTGTCCACGTTTCCACTATATATATATATATATATATATATATATATATATATATATATATATATATATATATATATTATATATATATACAGTATATATATATAAACGTGGTGAATAGAGGCAGCTCCTCCTAAGACACAAAACTTTTAAAAATTTAAATTATACAAAATGCATCCCTCGTGTATGTTTTGTCCTTTTCCCGTGATAATAAAGGTTTTTGTCTTCTATGGAGAAAATTCCTCAAGCCTGGGGGCAGAGGCCCCCTGGCTAGGAAGTTAGTTTGGTTTCTAAGGTTAGTTAGGTCAGGTTCTATTAGGTTTCAGTAAATGATACCTCTTTTAAAATACTAATTATAATTAGAACATGTAGAAAATTTTAACTAAATCGAACAACTCGTTTTGGTGGTAGTGCTGTTCTCCGACATTACCCTAAAAAATTCTGAAGTTCTTGGTTAACATTCAATACTCTGTTCCAGTATTAACTTATTGCTTTCGCCCCTTGACTCTAGTGAACGAAATTAAAGCAGGAGCTGAGACCAAGAGTTAAATACTACGAATGCATAATATTTGTCATGCATATCAGAGGTTATTGGCACAATCTCCTTACAAAGATAAAATTACATCTCTTCTTTAAAAAAATAACACCAACCCGGAAGTCAAACTCCAAGTTGGAGCTTGATTTGTGCTTACTTCTCAAAACTGAATGTGTATACTTCCACTATCAAATAATCTTGCTGGAGAGGAGGATGCCAAACAGCCTCCCCTTGGTACAAACCTGAAAGTACTTCTTGAATAATTTTGCTTTTTATGACTGCACGCTTTCTGTCCGAGCAATAGGTTAGTAGAGTTAGTACTTAATGTGTGGCAGCCTAAGAAAAACAAATTCTGCTGCCATTTAAGCTAAAGGACCCTAAAGACGTAGCCTCGCTGTAACAACACTTGATGGACCACATGTTGTGCCTCACCCAACACACTGTTAACTCCGGGTCATGAACACACAAGGATATATTGAAATAACAACTTTCAAAAGCTAAATTAACTATTTCATATATTTCAACTTATTTTATTGAATATTTTGCTGTAATTATGAAAAATTTGAATTATTTTATAATTTTTATTTCGTTATAAATATATAAATCCTTTACATGAGTAACACGGCAGTGGTGGTGGAGACTTAAGCGGTCAACTAATATCAACATTTTATTCTTTGAGAGAGGAACGAGAATTCTAGCGGTCCGACTAATTAACCAAATATAATTTTTATTACTGATTTCATTGTCACACACCATCAACTATAACAAAATGAATGTATTGAAAATCATCTTATAACAACGCCTAGACTTCAGACCTGACAGGTGAGCGAGGTAAACAACCAGCCGTCGGCCACACCACCACTGAGAGATGCAGAAGTATGAGAAACTGGAGAAGATCGGGGAAGGTATTACTCAACTTAATACTTTGACTATAAATTATAATCACCAGAGCCTTAGTAATGTTTGAATTTAAAATCGCCTTCGTAATAACAAGTTTCAGTCCACAATGTTCTCATTAATAATGTTTTTTTATTACCGGAGTAATATACAAGTCTATTACAATATCCTGTTGTGTACACTTATTATTTATGTTATGAAAATGAGCGAAGCTACATTAACTTTTGTAATTTTCTGTTCCCTTAAAATAGAAGTTAGTAATTATGAAGTTTACTGTCGTGTCTAATAAGGGCTAGTTTTCTTTGTAGTCTTTACTGAAACGTCTGATTTAATGCATAGTATGCTAATCCAGGGGTGGACCAAGGAAATAGAAAACTTAATTTACTCAAGATGTAGCATGTAAGCTGTGGTTTCCACGACTTTAGTACCTATCTTCATTGTACTACAATACATCAGCTTAAGTCCAGAAAACTGTGAGGGCACACATTTTGGGAGTGAGAATTGTGAACTCTTGCAACAAACTGCCAGAGTGTTGTGACGGCACCAAGTGTGAGCTGTTTCAAGACCAGACTTGACCAACACTGGAGCGGTCCCAGATACATTCTGGAGCCAGTGCATACCTAGTACTTGCTAACAGTGTGAAATAGAGGGTTTTATCTTACTTTCGGACATAGCACACCCCAAAGTTATAAACTACTGAAACATTTAGATCTTCTTATTCTGAGTATTTTGAACCCCATTTTTCCCATTTGGAAATGGAAAATAGCGACACAATTGAATTGAATTGATTATAATTACTTTTCAGTCTGTCTCTTCACGCAGATGTTATCTGCGTGAAACCAAGTTAATTATAAGTGTGTTTACACCACGCATATGCAATGTTGACTGACGTCATCCAGTCGTGACCAATGATGTACAGTATTGATCTCATCACACGATTTTTTCGACCAATCACATTTGAATTTTTTCAAGGGGAGCACCCTGGGTACGGATTTGAATTTCAATCACCAGTCTGACAATGGCCGTGGTGGAAGTTGGGTGTGATTCGTGCTCCTACAATTATTTTAAGTTTATTGCCGAGTTTTACGAGAAAAACTATCATGCTAACCAATTCCTACCTAACCGGTTTAGGCTACATTTGGTTAGGTTAGGTTAGTTTAAGCTAGGCCTACCGGGGGTCCGGGGGCAGAGACCCCGGCTAGGGGTTAGGTAAGGTTACATTACGTTAAGTTGTTAGGTTAGATTAATTGACTCGTTTTCGTGTTCTCCCCCACCCAAAAACCCTGATTTCCCAGGCTCTCCCCCATTTTTATTAGGGGGGGGGGGCAAAAACGAGCAATTTCCGACAAAAATGAAGGTCAGATTCGCTTAAAACACCAAATTACAAAGGAAAAACATATTAGTCAACCCCTAGGGACTCATGTCTGAAAGTAAAAATTTACCCAATAGAGATGTGACCGACCACCCAAGTGGTTAACGAGCTGATCAGTGGCGAAGAGGATAAAAGTAAAAACTAAAAGGTATTAGGGTGAGTGAATTGTTGAGATGTGGTAGAATTGCTGAATGGTTCATTCCTGCCAAAAATTAGATACAGGGGAGTTCAAAAGTGGTTTTGTTTTTAATGAACAAAGCCTGCAGAAACTCATGAGGCCATGACCTGAAAGTTATTTTTATTTGCTTTACCAACAGATTTGTATTCTATGTATTAAAGCACATTTTGTAAAAATTCTGAAGAAAGCAAACATTATGAAGTGAATGAAATTTAACTTAATAATTTCTTTATTTTTTTTTCAATCACCAAGACTTACACAAGAAAGCCAGGAAGACAAACAAATATACATGAAGATTGTAGGTTAGGTTAGTTGGGGTAATCTTTCATAAATGGGTTTAACTATGCCCTAGCCTAGACTGATACCGGTAGTTGTCATGTGTTGGTGCATTATTAGTGCTGCTCTTATGCAAATGTAATATGATGCTCATTAACCCTGCACTTTGTTCTGCTATAAGAAATACTTTTTAGTAATTCTTAAAAAAAATAAAAGTTAAGAAAATATAAAAATTAACTTGGTTCAAGTACAAAATCACGGTTTTGAAAGGCAGAACTACCTCTGTTGATATGTATTTCTTTGAGGAGAAACGTCATATAAATACAGGGTACAGTACTGTAGCTTAATAAACCGAAGACACAGGTTTTGGACGCATGCATGTGATAGATGTCCAGGTGTCAATGAATATACAAAGGTGTTTCTAATGTAACAAATATTACATTTTATACTTTTTGTCAGATTAGTGGTTTGTATATCTTTTTCTTTTAGGTACTTATGGTACTGTGTTCAAGGCCAAGAATAGAGAAACACAGGAAATAGTTGCTCTCAAGCGGGTTCGTCTAGATGATGATGATGAAGTAAGTCCAGCGGCCCTAGAAATAACAAAGTATTTTTATTGTACTCTTGATGCCAGTTTAATAGTTGTATCATGTACTCTCAGCTGAATTAGAAATAATAAAAATTATTTGCAACATGTTACAAGGTTAAAGATAAAGGTTTTTCCATTATGACAGTTGCAAATATATCGCCCTTTTGTTGGCAGATGACACAAGTTGCATCGTCCAGATCTCACCCAATTCCTGACTGGACAGTTTGGTTTAATACTTATTTATATTTTAGAAATTGAAATGTTCCCTTAAACACTTATAGTGGGTTGTATTTAATATTTTAGCTTTAATGGCTACTTCCAGAATGTTGGTTAGGGATATGACTCCAAGAAAAGCTGTTGTCATGTTGAAAGCTCTTTGCTTCTTATTTTTAGAATAATGAATTTTGTATCTTATTCTTTTCAGAAGTAATCTAATATATATTATTCAGCTTACTATAAACACATGTCACATTACATTATGATTCCACACTCACATTCAGTTTTGGGTTACATAATATAGATGCTCAGAATTTTTTAATTGGTTGTCTTACAGCTAAAGAATTCACTAGTTGCTTGAACTGATCTAAGAACATATGTAATAATCAATTTCCTATCATGCATGAGCATGTTCACTATTTGAGATTTGCTGTTTAATGGTCAGTGTCTATTGTTTAGGGTGTACCTTCATCAGCTCTCCGTGAGATCTGTTTATTAAAGGAGCTCAAGCATAAGAACATCGTGCGCCTCCATGATGTGCTTCACTCTGACAAGAAACTCACACTGGTGTTTGAACACTGTGATCAGGATCTCAAGAAATATTTTGACAGCCTCAACGGTGAGATAGATCCTGACATCGTAAAATCTTTTTTGTAAGTATTGCCAATACATGTGAAGTAGTTTATTTTCGGAAAATAAACCGTATAGCACTTTAATTATTTTATGACAATTAATTCTTAACTCTTCATCCCACCACATGATGGATACCTGTATGTAAAAAAAATTATACATACGTTACAATACTGTACTATAAACCATCACAGTTTTAAATTAAATGAAGGAAGGCCGATCTGAAAGCATTACTACAGTACAGTATTTCAAAATATGGTACTAAGAACTGCTGTATGTGGCCCAGCTTATGAACTCCCTGAGTACAATACTACGAATGGTGTACCTGTGGGTTTTAATTTCAAGTACTGTAGGAAGAGATGGTTTCTGGCAGGATGCCTCTACTGTACAGTACTGTACCATGCAGATCAACACCTAAAATAAAATATGGACAACTTGTAACAGCTGACATGCATAGCAAGTGTACAGTACAGTATATTGTGATGTCACATTCATTAAGTTTCTACTTTTATGTACAGTATCACTTTTAAGGGCAGTGGTTGCATCAGATATAAACTAATTACGTTATCTGATTAATTAACAGAGTTGTAAAAAGTACTGGATTTTGTTACTTAAGTAAAAGTATTGTTACATTGGCAAAATGTTACTTAAGTAGAAATAAAAGTACTATACAAATGTCAATGTACTCAAGTACTGGAAGTAAAAAGTAACAACAACAATATTATTTGTCTCAAATATTAAAATAAATCCACACTAAATTATAAAAAGCAGTAAACTATAGATAAAAGTAAGACACAAAGTATTACATATGTTTATTTGTAAAGTTTTCTATTAAGATTAATCAGTAACTAATTCTCAAAATTATGGCTGTCCAACTTAAGATCTTTTAGGCCTAAATACAGGCCCAGCATGATCTACCGAAAGTGAGTATGTTCAGCTGCTCTTCTTCCTACAATCCGTTGCAGAACGTGTTGAAAATATATCCATCCAACACTATGATCACTGTTTTCCTTATCCACACAAGTATTGTCGACTTGGACTTATTGTCAGCAGACATAATGTTGTCTCTGCTCGCATTAGGTTAGGATACAGACCTATCTGGTATGTATCTGAGGTGGGGAATGACCAGCACTTTTCTTCCTGTAAATTCTGTAACTGTCCCAATGCGAACACCCTTCAACACTACTGTATTGTCTTGACTGTCCCACTGTCAGGGACTTCCTACCACAGGGAGAATCACTAACCATTATATGTCACCAGCCACTTATTTGTAATAATTTAGATTTAATTTTTGTATGCTACTGATGCTTTGGTGGGTGCTAACTCCCATTGTCCATAAATCATATCAATACTGTATTGTCTCTATATCTCAAGTCATAGCGTTTTCCTGCGAGACACAAGTACCAATGTATTAGTGTCTGACCGCATGGTCTTGTGACTAGGCTTGTTGCCCTCTGGGGTGTAATAAATATATTAAATAATAAGCCCAGCATGACAAAACAGATGCTCACAATCAGCTGATGCAGGTAGTGGGGTGATAAGCTTCAGAGATAAGTCACTGAATGTCAGGAAAGACCTCGGTAGCTCCATTCCATCCCCTGGGCATTCCAAGTAGCTATCAAGCTCCTTCAGTTGAGGAGTTTATGATGATTGCTGCCTCCATAGTGACCGAGTCCGACTAAGACTCCCTGTGAACTGTCCCTCTAATTGGGGGCGTGGCTGTGGTGACGTCACTCTTCGATTCCAATTGATGAGTGGCTGAATTTTTCGCACCACATAACATCTGGTGGGTGCTGACAAGGGCAGTTGTACTGTAATTAGTTATTTAAGCAGAATTATAAATACACCCAGTCTCACACAGCTTCTTTGAAATTCATTTTAAGTACAGGGATAGGCAAAGAGCAACTGACGTCTAACGGAAAGGTGGGGGAGAGGAGAGGGGATTCAATGGGAGAAGGGGATAAGAGGGTAGGCTAGGCGAGGTGGTGGTCAATGTGCTAATGGACACAAGAAGATCAAAGGGAAAGTCCGTTGTCAAGGCCATTGCCACCTGACCTGACCTGACTTTTCCTCACCTCATGAGATCTCTAGGTATGTGACCGTGTGGTGTGTCTCCATACCAGTACGTACCCTTCACGGCTTCACTCACACTATACCCTCCACCCACACAACTTTTTTACTATGGTTAATAATTAAATAATTAAAAAATATATTATCAGTTTCCCCACAGACATTAAACCCCGTTGATTGGGGCATGTAATGAGTAAAGATTTTTGTTTTGTTTTTCAATTGTATTAGAGTAAAAGTATTTGAAAACCATACTTATATAAAAATGCTAAAAAATTTTTGTGCTTTTTAAAAAGTAGATACGGTACCCAAAAATGTAACTTGAGTACAGTACTCAAGTAAGTTTACAGTATTTTGTTACTTTACAACTCTGCTGTTTATATCCCAGCCACTTTTGTCCAAGGTCTCTGGTCTCCTCCTTGTAGATTTAGGCCTGGTGCACACATTTTCCTGTACAGTATAATGAATAGTTGCCCAACAGACAGCATAAGGTACTGTAATATTAAATGTGTAGCGTGTTCTGTAAAGGCTGTAAATGTGTTATTACAAACAGTTGTTAATTATTTAAGTCATCTCTCCTAGTCATGATATAGCTACAAAATTAAAATTCGTTTGTATATTATTCGGCTGATTTTATCAAAACTATTTTTTCTGAAATTTTCAGGTTTCAGCTGTTGCGAGGGTTAGAATTTTGCCATAGCAGAAATGTACTTCACCGTGATCTCAAGCCTCAGAATCTACTCATAAACAAGGTATAGTTACTTACTATTGCAGTTATGAATTGAATGCAGTGCTTTAACTCCTCCCCCTTTAAGAGTACAGTAACCTTAGAGAACACAAACAAATTTTCTCACATAATGAATATCACAAATATAGATTTGCATCTATTAAATTACTGTACCACTGTGGCCTACTTGATTTGTTTTAAAAGTGGATAGAATCAAAACACTGAGTTTTAAGATGCCTACACTGGACTCATATTACTGTATCCTTATGAAGCAAAACATTTTGCTCTTTTAGAAAATAGTCAATACAGATAATTCAGTCTGACTTATAAGCTACTATACTGTATGAGGGTGTGATACCATTGCCTGTGTGTTATAATATTGCCTGTGTATGTGTGTGTGTGTGTGATTGTATTACTTATGTGAGTGTGTGAACAAAATGTATTTCACACAGTTGATATAGTATTACAGTACTGGTATATTCTTTACATATATAATATTGTCTTGTTAATTCAGTAAATGCTAAGAAAATTAACAGTACAGTATGTACTGTAACAGTACTTGCTTAGAAATAAAATCTTTCTCTTCTAGAATGGTGAATTAAAACTCGCAGATTTTGGCTTGGCCCGGGCATTTGGTATTCCAGTAAGATGTTACTCAGCAGAAGTGGTGACTCTGTGGTACCGCCCCCCTGACGTGCTCTTTGGTGCCAAGCTTTATAACACCTCAATTGATATGTGGTCTGCTGGCTGTATATTTGCTGGTAAGTCATTTTGGGCATTTACTTATACAGTACAGTACTATTGAAGATTTAGAATACCCGGTAGGCTGGATTTAAAAGACATTACTGAGCCTCCAAACCTCATTCCCAAATACAGTGATCCCTCGGTTAACGAATTACCTTCCATAAGATTCTTTACTTCGGTTAACGAGCAAACCCTCGGTTAACGAATTCCTTACGAATTTTTCTCAACATGTTTTCTCCTGCATTTGGCTGCCCACCAGCTGTAGTATAAGTCCGCCAATACAGTAATCGGTTTTAGGGCTTAAATTCCTTACCATTTTAGTAAATATCAAGAAGGTTGTACTATTCAATAATTTTAAAAGTTTTATATTAAATTTTTTAGTCATTTTAACAATTATTGAACATAATTGAAGTACAGGAAACTAGTTTTTTGCACGCCAAACAGCCACTCAGAGGAAGGAATATCTTGTTTGAGACTTTTCAACATAAACGCTTTTTTTCTGTATTTCCAGTCAAATTATTGGTCATTTTGAAATATATTTTACATATTGATAATATATAGCACAGTGCAGTGTTGATTTAAAGAAAATAATCTTGAATTACACCAAGTGAATTCAAATTTTATGGGTGAAATGGCAGCATGGGGTGACTTCTCTTCCACCCCAATGCCTACTTCTCCCTTCTCCTCCACCCTCATTTTAATTCCCATCATCATCGTCATCAACCAGGAGCCTTCTACATGCACACCTCAAAGTAAGTGTACTTTACTGCATTTATTTTTAGTTTGTATGTAATTTTCGGTGAGCTGGAACCAATTACCCAAAAACCCATTGAAACAATGGTTTCAGTTAACGAGCAACCTTCTGGAACGAATTGTGCTCGTTAACCGAGGGACCACTGTACAGTCAATAATAAGATTTATATATAAAAGTAAAGGAACTTTAATTTTTTGATACTTTATGATAAATGACTTACCGAATGTGGAAAGTATTATGGTAAGTTGTATTTCATATTAAAATTATAACTTAATTTTTTAAAATACTTGATAAAATATGGGTTGGAGCAATTTTATTAACTCTGTATAGTGATAAGTAAGAGTGGGAGAGGAAGATGAGGAGTAGCTGTACAGCTTTGTTCATATCTGGTAATACAGGTAATGTATTTCAATGGGGAATAGCAGAGAAGTAATAGGAAACTGTACAATGTAGAACAGTAGTGCATGAACATAAGATACTGAATGAAGATAAGCATTAAACTGTTGATTTATTATAGTGTTCAGAGGGAACAGGTTTGAAGCATTGGTGTTTTTTGTTTTAGATGTTTCAACAGCCAGGATTCTTTATGATATACTGTTTGATCTTTGGACTGAAACATGTAAACAATGTTGAGGTCTTGATTTGTTTAACTTGGTTTAAGGGTACTGCATTAATTTTAAATTCTCCAGCTGTTTTTAGATCATCCCAATTTGTAAAAATGAGATGTAGTCAATAAATAGTAGACATTCCTCCATGTACCCAGAAAAATCTTCCATTAGTAATATTTTGGTTTCCAGATGGTATTGTAATTATCTTATGATTAATCAGTATTTTCTTAAGAAAACTTTTACAAATGTTGCAGAATTGGCAAATGCTGGACGGCCACTTTTCCCTGGGAGTGATGTTGATGACCAGGTAAAACGTATATTCAAACTTTTGGGAACACCTACTGAAGAAACATGGCCAGGAATGACCTCACTGCCTGACTACAAAACATTCCCACTTTACCAACCCACTATGACCTTAGCTCAAGTCTGTCCAAAGCTCAGCAGTAAGGGAAGAGATTTATTACAGGTAAGGTTGTCCAAAAAATTCTATATATACTGTCCTGTACAGGGATGAAGTTTCCCACCACTAATTACTGCACACATCACGGGTGGATCCACGAATGTCAAGGAAGGGGGGGGGGTCTAAGAAGTTGTGGGTGGGGGAACATGGCGAGCACAGGGAGCCCACCTAACTAGGAGGGGTTGGGGGCCTTATGCTACCCCCCGATTTTTTTTTTTTTTAATCTGACCAATATCATGGACATTTTGAGGCCATGTGCACTTGATATTAGGGGATATTCTGGGGTCAATAGTAATTACTTTTTTCTCTATAAAAATGCCTGAGTACAATACCTTATTAAAAAAAGTATTAGAATTTTCTGATGAAAAGGGGGGAAGGGAGCAACCCTCAAGACCCCCCCATGAATTTGCCCCTGCATCATGAGTTCAAGTATATAGTACAGCAATGGTGCAACAATTACTTAACTTGAGACAGTGAACAACACTAGCTGTGCATTAATTGAAGTAATTTTATACTTTATGATACATCAGTCAGGAAGAATATAGTGGGAGAGAAACAGTGACATAGGCTTTAATAATTTATCATAATACTGTATATAAGATTTAAGTTGTATCCAAAGTAAGAGAAGGGTATTGATACCTGTACGTATAGTGAAGGTGGGACAACAAATTAGTATTTTCTTAGTGAAGACATGAGGAAGTTGTTGATATCTAAATTTTGACACATTTGGAGTTATTGCAAAGGTAGTGACTAAGTTTTGGGAACAAGTGCCATTTAATGTAGACAGTGAGGAGGACGACATTGCCTAGCATGGAAAAAGGTGTTGAATGATGTGGTTATCAAGACAAAGGGGGAAGGTTGGATGTGGAGATACATGTACAGTACAGTGGTCCCTCCATTAACAAGCGGTTCAATTTACGAATTAGCTCCCATAAGGATTTTCAGTTCTATTAACGAGTACAACTTCTATTAACGACAGCCTTACAAGAAAAACGCTTCAGTGTGCGCATCAGCTGATCAGCTAGTCTGCCAATACAGTAATCGGTTCTATGTTTACATTCGTTTCCAGTGGAGTAAATATCAAGAAAGTTGTGCTCTTGAATATTTTTGCATTTTTTTTTATTAAAATTATTGGTCATTCTGAAATTTAGTTAACATATTGATAATATAGACAGTACAGGAAAAAGTTTTTGTGCGCCCATCAGCTGATCGAATCACCCAACAACGCTTCTCAGTTTAACTTTGTTTACAATGGAGTGAACATCCAGTTTGTTGGTCTCTTGAATATTTTTGCATTTTTACTTTAAAATTATTGGTCATTCTGAAATTTAGTTAACATGTTGATAATATACAGTGCAGAAATTATTATGAAACACAAAGAAGGCATTAAAACCAATGCACTCTATAAAGAATATGTCATGTCATCATCAACTGAGTCTACGATCAGCTGTTTGCTCTGTAAACAAAGCTGCCGGGAATACGACAAACAAACCTCAAAGTAAGTTAAAATACAGTACTTGTGTTCTATTGTTTTTTATTTATTATTGTACAGTATACTGTACTGTACAGTACAGTACTGTATATAGTTTATATTTAATGTTTTGTTAATTCTATTACCGATACAGTAGAAAGTCGATTTAAAGCGAGTCAATTTAAGATTATTGCTTTAAAGCGACACCCACAATTAAGGACAATATTTTAATTTAAAGCGAATCTTTCCTATTTTGCGTGAGTCAATCTGGCGCATCATATTTTAAAATTCGCACCTAATGTTTCTCTGGGCACGCTACACTGTCTTAAGGGCAAAGATGTACTGTACATGTACTCAAAATAATGTACTAAATGATTACTAAAATTTTAGTAAAGTGCAACCTACAACATGATTACTGTATATTCAAATTAATCAGTGTCTTATAAGAATTCCAGCAATATAAATTATATTCCTCCCGGTCTCTTCTGTGACATTTTATAAACAAAAAACAAAAACTCAATCTAAAGGACATAAATAAACAAAAAAATACCTCACTAGACCTTCGGCCCCAACTGTCAAACGTGTCACTGTCCCCCCCCCCCCATCTTCCCAGCCAGGGTTGGGTGGTTATAGGCTTACAGTTTTTATCTTATATAATATCACAGACTAAAGTTATGAGAATATAACTTACATTGCTAGAATTCTTGCAAGACAGCAAATAATTTGAATATAAATATCATATATTTTGCACAAGAGATAAACATTGTAGCCCTTTGTAATAAAATTAATTAAAACTAAAATTTGTATGTCTAATGCAAACTATAGCATGTATATATTCAAACTAATCACCATCTTATAAGAATTCCAGCAATGTTAATTGTATTCTCCCAGGTCAGTTCAGTGGCATTTTATAAGAGAAAAACTTAAAATCACTCTTAAGGACAGGTAAATAAGCAGGCAATGGACCTTGGCATCAACTGTCAAACATATCACCTCACCTCCCTCCCTCCCCCCCCATCTCCCCAGCCAGTAAACAGACCATTTCGCATCCCTAAATTTTAGCTGTGTTGATTTATGAGTGTTTGTTTTAACATAATACTTGTACTACAAAAAACAATGTTGTGTTTATTCTAGGAGATGGACTGAGGTGCATCTGGGTAGACTGTCAGTCTTTTTATGATTTTGTGTTTCTCTCAAGTACCCACTAAATTATTCCATTGAAGCAACACTTTGATTTAGTGCGAATTTGGTTTAAAGCAACCTCTCTTAAATAATAATAATAATAATAATGAACGGTTTATTGAAAAAATTCTGCAGCCCGAAGGCTGAAAATATACATTGGACATAAATGACTTATTACATACATTGGTGGTTTAACAAAAGCCTTCATTAGAGAAAGGTAAAGGAACATACAGTGAACATACAGATTAATGTAGGTGTTGAGCAGCAAACTCGTAGTGTAGTAACTCCCTCCCAGATGGTGTTAGGAGGAACTCACGTGGTGTAGTAGTTCCCTCTGATGGTGTTATGAGGGACCTGGCGTGGTGTAGTAATTCCCTCGCAGATGGTGTTATGAGGGGCCTCACGTGGTGTAGTAATTCCCTCACAGATGGTGTTATGAGGGACGTCATGTGGTGTAGTAATTACCTCACAGATGGTGTAATGAGGGACCTCACGTGGTGTAGTAATTACCTCACAGATGGTGTTATGAGGGGCCTCACGTGGTGTAGTAACTCCCTCACAGATGGTGTTATGAGGGGCATCACGTGGTGTAGTAATTCCCTCACAGATGTTGTTATGAGGGACCTCACGTGGTGTAGTAATTCCCTCACAGATGGTGTGATGAGGGACTTGACGTGGTGTAGTAATTCCCTCACATATGGTGTTATGAGGGACATGTGGTGTAGTAATTCCCTCTCAGATGGTGTTATATGAGTGAGGTTTGCTCTTAGGCCTTCCTATCGTAGACGGATTAACACATCGCTGGTTGTTGTTGGGTCTCACGGGCCGTTATCACTGGGTACCTGGGACCTCACTGTGTGAAGGTTAACTTGGGTACGACTGTTACTGTTGAGTTGTTCTCACTGACTTAAGCACTGTTCACCACTGTTCACCTCTGTTTAACACGGTTCCGTTCCTTTCCTAAATGAAATTGTAACTTCTGGCAAGAACTTGTTGATATTCCGGTGGGGAGGAGGGTTCAGGGGAGGGGGTTGGTATGGGCCAACTTAACAGTTGACCTGGCTGCTCCGAGAGGAGCGCCAGGTACGTCTTGACCCTTTGGTGGTCAAGGATCTTGTGTTACATCAACATTCTACTGTACACAGTACAGCAGGGGTGTCAAACTCATGGCCCGCGGGCCAAATGTGGCCCTTGGGATGGTCAGGTGTGGCCCACGGGATGACGGTAAAATTTATCATCCCGTGAAATTATGAAAGAAATAGATATATTCATGTTTATTTAGTAAAATGAATTTTACATACTTAAGATCCGACAAACCCAAATGAGGTATTCCTGGTAAGCCAGGTAAGGCAATATGTGTGAAGCTGTGAACCTCAATCCTGCAAATATGTGATATAGCACTTGTGTTGCCCCTGAAGAGTGTAACTAAAATAAGAATTGGCCCTCGAAAGGTTTTGAGTTTGACACTATTGCAGTATAGTACTTTGTATGTACTTTTTCTGTGAGTTGGAACCAATTACCCCATATCCCATTGAAATAATAGATTCAGTTAACGACCAACTCTGTAGAACCAATTGTGCTCGTTAATCGAGGGACCACTGTATATGAAAACTACAAGAAGAGTACAATGTGCAGTTTTAGTCCAAGAATACAGTCTGCTGAATATTCTGTACTCACAGTATTACATGAAAATATAACACGAAACTTTCAGTAAGACACCTCCTTCATCACAGCAAACAAAACACTGTTACGTCTACTTTTAAAGCAGTTTTTAGTTTAGTCACACTGGAAGATTATATCATTGTCTGCAATTCTTCAGTTAATTTTTTCTGATTAAAACTACAGTACTGTACCTGGTATATTATAATCACAGTAAGATAGTATATTAATATTTTATATTACTTTTCATTTGATAAAGTTTTCTAATATGAAAATATATTTCAGCGACTACTGATCTGCAACCCTGCTGTAAGAATGAGTGCAGAAGATGCAATGACGCACTCATACTTTGCCGATCTCTCCCCGTCCATCCGCAATGTGTAGAATATGATCATCAGTTTGGCCCATGAGCATATATGAATGAATCTTCACCACCTAAATGTCTGTGTCAAAGAATGTGTCATATGTGTATACATTGTATGGAAAGGGAATATACATATATAGATTTATCACTTCTTAACTGTACTGACAAAACAATTTTCTAGCAATATTATTCTTCAGTGGGAGTAAATTTGAGTAACAGGGACCTACCTGTTTTATATAAATTACCATGTGTATCAGTACCTCTTAATGTACAGTAGTTGTTTATCAGTATGGATATGAAGGGAAGCTCATAAGCCAGTTATTCATGCTATTCATTGTCTTTGGTCTCAGCTTGTACAGTATGACATGCTTCTCTACCTGCTATGAGGGAACATTTAAAAATTAAGGCATCCTGTAAATGTTTCATCAGAATCTTGGTGTCCAACACAACTACCATATTTTATGGCATATAAGATGCACTTTTTTGTCTGAAAAATAGCTAAGAAAATCAGCCTGTGTCATATATGTGAAGTTGAGGTCTCCCGTAAGGCAGAGGCATACTGGGCACTTTCCTCCAAACATGTTTGGCAAACACGGTCCGGCCAACAAAACAAAGAGATGTTTTGTTGGCGTGTCTGCCCAATGCAATGAAAACAACAACAAAGCATCCAGATGAGGATCGCCATGGACCCTGTTACTACAGTTGAGGCCTTACCGGATTGTGCTATAGTTCTTCAATTGCTGAAGCAAGTGAGGCGTCTGCAAAGGCTAAAGAAAAGACAATGGGTGCGTCGTGAGGTTTCTTTAAAAGTGGCGGTGGCTGGCTGGTCAAAGACCCTGACTAATGATTTAATAATACTAAATAACTTTTAAAGTGACGAATAAATAGAAAAATTTCGCCGTTTATGTATTATAGTTTAAATTATTATTGTTTCATGATTTAATTCAATTTTTACTTGAAATTATTTTAAGCTCACTCGAGCACTAATCTGGCCAGCAAGGAGCCCTGCCAAACCATTGTCCATTTGTAGCAACAGCAAAAATCCTGCTGCTTGCTGAGCCGTCAGGCCAACGGCCAGCAAAATGGGCAAAATATTTAGGGGAGTGTCCAGTGTGCCGCCATCTTAAGCTAATGAATCCCCCAGTTGCTGTCTCCAGTAGGCTAAATTTTACCTAGCCCAACTCCAGAATTAAAAATGTGTTATTGCTTACTTAAACACATTATTATTATTAATTAATTAAAAAATAATTATTGTAAATATAAAAGCTCAATTTATAACTACTGTACTGATGACAACCTGAGACGATTAATGTCCTTGCGGCAGACACCCAACTCTTATGAGGTAGCTAAGTAGTAACCAATTCTAAACTCTTACAAGCATTACAATCTATTAATTCCATACATGCAACATTTATTTTTAAATCTACAAATACCTGATACAAATGAAGAATTACAGATAACTTTCTTTTCACATTTGCATCTGTTAACATTGCTGGTAGTATTGTAGCCTGGTTAGACTCATCAATGAGGCTACTGGGCCAAGCTGTGAGGTATTAAGGTTGTCTTTCATCTCGTATTTTCGGGTAGATATACGTAAATTTTTTCATTTATTTTTACTCGGTTGCATGCACACACCATCCAACATACATACTATGAAAAGGTAAAAGAAATCGTTGCCCTTAGAGCAAACACAAAGGGAATGTGCATTTCTTTGCACACGAGTTAGCTGGCTGGCTCAGTGGGGGAGCAGGAGGCGAGACTGCCCCCCCCCCCCCACACACCATTGTTATGGTGAACCAGGGCGTATATGCAAATGGTGACTAAACTATCACATCTCTCATTGCCATGTCTTCAGCTTGTGAAGTGAGGGTAAGGAGTGGCATGCCTTGGTGAAGTGTTTATACTGCATGTTACCCTGCAAGAAATGTGGTACTGTACAATACAATTGTTTTAGTTGTTCTGATGATTTTATTTTTGGCATATTATGCTGTTACTTAATTTAGTGGTTTTTATATTCTAGTCATTACAGTGCAAAGTGTAGGAAGTTTAATGCATCCTACATTCATTGGTACTATATATTTGGAGGAGTAAAGTGATCTTACTGGTTTAGGAGCTAACCTTACTTTGGGTACTTTAGATTATTTATTAAAAAATGAAAATAAATGTATTCTACTATAACAAAATAAACTATATTCATGCTTTATAATATTATTACCTTATAATTAGGCTTTAAACATAAAATATATTCAATTTAATCATAATACAGACTTCTTAATCAAATCTCAACAAATAGGGCACAATATTTCCATATTAATTAAACATTTCAGAGTACTTGGTACACTATGATTATGTATCCAACAGATAGTGTAGGGAAGTGCGCTTGTTCTTGACTGGATTCCAATGATAAGAGAATATCTGGCTATGGAACACTATTGTTAGGTATGGTTGCAAGTACAGGGGGTCCTCACTGTATGCCATTTCACATATACTATGTACATTACTAACAAATATATGAAGAAATTTAATTATACATCAGTTGTTTCACATATACATCATCTGCCCTGGTTTATTCACTGACCATGGCCCATATTCACTAACACCGCTGAGACACGAAGTTCATAACTGCCAGGAAATCTAAAGTCCATGCGAATCACCGAAAGAAGAATTCACAAACTGTTTGTAACTTAGTTGTCGAAATAATAAATTTGCTCAAAATCTCAGTATAGGTCGTCCTCGACATGATGAATCAGGATCTGTGGTCAAAATGTTGAAATTTTGATAAATAATTGTCCTAATTGTCCCTGGAGTATGAAATTTTCATAATTAATTGGGCTAAGTACAGAAAACCCTTGTACTTCCGGACCTCTAAGATCCAGATTTCGGTTGGTCCGGACAACGTCTGGATGTGGCAAATTCCTATCCAGTCTCTCTCAGTCCAAATGCCATATTTACCCCCTACTGCTAAAATGGACCCAGTCCACATCTCCTGCTACTAGTCACAGCGTGGGTCCCTACTCAGTCTTGTTTGTAATCTCGGTGTGTACACACCATCATGCTACCTCTCGATTGCGCCTTTTTGTTATTTCTCTTGTATTTTGTGCCTGATTTCTTGTGCCCTGTGACTGTTGTGTAGTGATGGCACCCAAAAGAAAATGCATGAAGCTTACTGTAGCTCAGAAACTGGAGTTGTTACAGAAGTTAGAAAGTGGTTGGTTTGTAGCGAGATGCTATAGTAAATATGGCGTCACTAAGCAAACTGTGTCTGATATCCGAAAGGCTAAGGGGTCCCTGCAGTCATTTACAATGAAATATACATACAGTAATACCCCGATTTACGCGTTTCCACATTTACACGGTACCCCGCCAGAACCGGAATTCCCACTTTATGCAGTGCCTCTACTCATATACGGGGAGAGTGGCTGGTGGTCCTGCCGCGCCGCCATTTTTGGATTCAAACCTCCCGCCATCCCGCCATGCTTGGGCAAGCGGGGCCAGTAGGTTGCACAGTGGATGCCTCTGTTGCGTTATCGCTGACATCATATCACATATCGGACTGTGATTGGGCCACGCATCCTTACCTCCCTCCGCCGCTAGCTGTGATTGGTTTAATGTAATATGACGTGTCTTCCCGCTGGCGGGTAGAAGGCGCTTGACCTAGCCGTGTCAGTTACATCCCTCCCAGCCACACCGTGTATACAGGTATCTATTGTTCCGTAAGAATGGCTGCCGCCGAACCACCACCACCACAGAAAAACATTGCATTACCTGCACCCAGCCGCCCTAAGCCAAAGAAGATACGACGTGCCCTAAGTTACGAGGTGAAGTACAGTATAATACAAGAGTTAGAAAAAGGAACAAGACAGGTCGATCTAAGCGCGCCAGCACGGTGTTAACGAATCTACGATCCGGACGATCAAGAAGGATGTAGCCAATATAAAAGAACACATGAGCATCACAAAGTCTGCAGGTGCTTCAATGATTAAGCATTGCCAGAACAAGGTGCTTCTCAAGACAGAAAATTTACTTGTGTGTTACTTGATTCGTCAGGCAAGACGAAACATGGCGGTCGACACGCGGTCAGTTCAGGAGTACACACGTGAACTGTACACAGAAGTGTCACGTAAGATGGGAATTACAGAGCCCAAACCCTTCAATGCTTCCTCTGGGTGGCTGCACAGGTTTAAGAAGAGGAAGATCACCAACATTAACATTGGTAGTGAAGAAGCGAGTGCTGACCGTGTTGAGGCTAGGGATTTTCCTCCGTTCTTACGCAAGATATGGAGGAAGGACAGTACACCAACGACCAGGTGTTCAACATGGACGAATCCGATCTGTTTTGGAAAAAGCTACCTTCCAAGACCTTCGTTGTCCAGTCTGCCAGCAAGTGTCGGGGCCGGAAGTTGCAGAAGGAGCGCAACACTGTCCTGTTTACCACCAATGCCTCCGGTTCCTGTAAACTCAGGTTATCGGTGATCCACACAGCCCGCAAGCCTACAAAGACATGAACATGACCAAGCTAAATGTCCACTGGCTGACCGCACGTAAGGCGTGGATGTTCTCTGCTCTGTCCCTCTCCTGGTTTGATGACTGTTTTGTTCCCGACATGAAGAAATTCTGTGAGCAACAGAATGTTCCATTCAAGATTTTGTTGCTCCTTGACAATGCACCAGGACACTCGCCCCTACTGTTGGATCGTCACCCCAATGTAAAAGTGGTCTTCCTTCCTCCCAACACTACGTCATTAATCCAGCCCATGGACTAAGAATTAATCTGCAATGTGAAAGCTGCATACTCTGCAAAGAAGTTTAAGCTCCTGAACGACTGTACCAACACCAAGGATGAGTTGCGTAACCTGGGTGACACCGATAGCAAGAGCGACAAGGACGAGGAACAACAGTTGGCGGAGCAAGAAGTTCTCATCAAACACTTTTGGAGGAAATTTAACGTCAAGAAAGCTGTGGACTTGGTGGAGGCATGGGATCAGCTGTCTGTAGCAACCGTTCGTCACGCATGGAGACATGTGTTGCAAGGTATCCCAGGTGGGAGGCAGAGTCAACCTGTGACTGGTGAGGTTCAGTCTGTTGCAGTAGCAGTGGACCTTGCCAGAGAAGCTGCGCAGAGTGTTACAGCTGCAGGCTTCTACGAGGCCACCAAAGAAGACATCCTAGAGGTGATCAGGGATCCTGAGGTGACTGCTGACGAGATGTTAGAAGACGATGACGTCAGTGAAGAGGAAGGTGGTGCGTCATCCCGAGAAGAACACAAGTTAATGCATGGTAATGTTAAGGATGCCATCGAGTGTGCAGAGAAACTGAAGCTCCTCCTTTCCGACGACCCTAACGATAACCGGTATGAAGTCTTCACTACCCAGCTGTTGCAGGCTATGGAGCCGTACATCAAGGTGTAGCACGACAACATCAACACTAGCCGTCAACAAAGCATTACCGAGTTCTTCGCCCGCAACCCACCACAGCCAGCCCAAGCCAGTGATAGTGACAGAGATAGAGACAGTGATGGTGACTTTGAGGGATTTGTCAGGGAGGCCCTGACAAATGTGGAGAACAGTGATGGTGACTCACCTGAGGGCCAGTAGTCTGCCCTCTGCCTCGGAACCAGTCGCCATTCCCGTACGCCGACCCATCTCTTCTACTAACGCAAGTGTTAAACCTAATCTTTATTTTTCCTAACATAACCTAACCTTACGTAAGAGTTAAACCTTGATTTTTTAAAACCTAACCTAACCTTACGTAAATGTTAAATCTTGATTTTTTCTAACCTAACCTAACCTGACGTAGGTGTTGAACCTTGATTTTTCTTTTACCTGGTACAGTATATTATTCTCTTATTGATATTTCTCTTCTATATTATGTGTGTGTGCTTACCATCATAAAGTTAAGATGTTATTTTTACTACAACATACGTATTGTGTCGGGAAAAAGTGGAGTTTGGGGGTCGACCCAGTCTCTATTTCAATTAATCCCATATATTCTGTTGTTCCATTTACGCGTTTCCCGTTTTACGCGGGCCTCCGCGGGTTCAGTTGACCGCGTAAATCGGGGTATTACTGTAGTCCTGATTCTTCGACCTCTAAGACGACTGTTGGATACCGCAAGCTGTATTCAAATTTATAGGAGGCAAGTTAAAATAATACTGTATTGATATTGTACTACTTACGAATGTAAAACTAAAATTCTTCTCACCAATGGTGGTAATGTCGAAAACATAGGACAGCCAATGAATGTTGTGCGAGTTTTTACTTAGATGACCAAAGCTGTAGGTTCAACTCTGGCTGAAGCTGTAGCTTTCCATAAACATGTCATAGCTGTTGCTGAATCTGAGGCTGTTGCTGAAACTGTTAATGAACCTGTAGTTGTTGCTGAACCTGCTGGTGATGCTGAATTTGATGGTGTAGCTGAACTTGAAGTTGATGGTTTAGGCCTTCGAATAATAAAGCTGTCGAAAGAACCTTGCACAGTTGCTTCCTTTTCTCATTATACATCTTTATGTAGTCATATGCATTTTTCACGTCCCTATTAATTTTAATGCTTCGTTCTGTTAATGGATCCTCTTCAGAAAAATTTTTCATTGCTTGCTCCATATAATATCCACAGACCTCTCACCTTTTTCATATCATTTTAACACATCTAGTTTCTCGGCTAAGCTTATACACTTTCTTTTAGCTTTTGAACCAGCACTACCATTTCTCGCTTGGTTGCTCATGTTGAATAGGGACGCAAAAATGCCGTAATAAATCTGAGAGTTTTTCTCATTTTCCTCTTCAGATGCGTAAAAATAAAAGGCCCGCCAAGCTATGACTAGTGATGCTGGATTGCTGGCGTCAATACGTACAAGCCTGGCAACCTCCATGTGCAAGGCATGTTTTTTTTTTAGCATACGCATTGGGATTTAGTTATTTATATGGAAATGTAATTTTATTTTATTTTTTATACTACTTTCGTCGTAGTACAAAGAAAATAACAGTGTAAATTGAATTGGGTCTTAAATTAACCAGGGTCTTAAATATGAGTCATCGTTAGTAGAACCATCGTTATCAGAGGCTTTCTTACTGTAAATTTCAAGTTTAACCCCGTTCATATCAGTGGGCGTTTGTAAGTCGGGGACCTCCTGTATATACCCTAATTCCTCATACATGCATATAATACTGTAATGGCATAGATATTACGTTTCATTTTTATCC